CATCCAACATCATCTACAGGTGCCAAATCACCAAAAATGCGGATGACTGTTTTTGAGCTGGCACATTGCAGCCTTAACAGCTCCCAAACCAGAGCAGCTATTCACTAGCTCTCAACTGCCCTAGGTAGCTCTGAGATGCACCTACCTAGAAACCCACCTCGTTCCACCTCGTTCCAGCATCTAGCTATCGGTATTTGCCAAATAGTCAGATTTTCAAAACCTCAAAAAATGGAACGAGGTCCATAGCTCTTGAACAGTGACAGCAACGGCCTCCAAACCATGATGAGGGTGTGCGGAGGACCCTGGGGCACGTGGGCCAGGTGCTCGTTCCAGGTGAAACGGCCTAGTCATGGCTCCACGGACCTCGTTCCACCAAAAACCTGGCACCAAGCCCCTTGGTGCCAGTTTTTTGGGGATAGGCGCAGTGCCCGGAGACCGCGATCGACGTTGCGCGCATGAAGCGCGTTCCGTATCGCAAGGCTATTGGTGCGCTAATGTACGCCGCTCTAGGTACGAGACCCGACATCGCGTTCGCCGTGACAACGCTGGCGCAGTACTCGGAGAATCCAGGATGGGCTCACTGGGAGGCGGTCAAGAGAGTCTTCAGGTACCTCCTCGGGACGAGAAATTTGTCACTGGTCTACGGAGCACGACAGAATGAACTGGAGGGATTTGTGGACGCGGATGGGGCCTCACAGGAGCACAGGCGCGCCATCACTGGGTACGTATTCCTTGTCGACGGCGGCGCGATCTCTTGGTCTTCAAAGAAACAAGAACTCGTCACGCTCTAGACCGCCGAGTCCGAGTATGTCGCCGCAACACATGCCGCAAAGGAGGCCATTTGGCTTCGTCGCATCATTGGCGAAATCTTCCGCCCCCCCTCCAAGCCCACCACTCTCCACAGCGACAACCAATCAGCTATCGCACTTACCAAGGACGGGTCCTACCATGCGCGCACCAAGCATATTGATATTCGATACCACTTTATTCGTTACACCATCGATGCCGGCGATATTCGCCTTATCTACTGCCCTACGGACGACCAAACGGCCGACATCCTGACAAAGGCGCTCCCTTCCGTCAAGGTCAAGCATTTTGCTGCTGCGCTCGGTCTCGCACCTGCTTGAGGGGGAGTGTTGGAACGCGTACGGCAAGGCAAGCGTGGTGCGAGAGCCCCGGCCGTGTCTCAGGCGAACAGTCTTGTCGCGCCGGTGATGCGCCTTGTCGCGGCTTGTCGCGCCTAGGCGGATTCATCCCACTTTGTTCTCGAATGCTACGTCTCATTTGTCTTGTAGCGTACATGTCTTGTTCTAGTATGGTATTAAGTACCCCCGATTTCAGTCAGCTCACCTCAGTCCCGCGTACACGCGTACTGAGGTGAGTATACGATTATTACTTACTTCGATTGCTTATGCTTACTATCACTCTATAGTGCTTTACTACAGGTATTATAAATATATATCAGTCCCGCGTACACGCGTACTGAGTGCTTTACTACATAACATGAATTTGCCAGGCCCGCCTTGCCATCGACTGACAGAGTGCGCGAAGAGGGGGGAGCTTCCAGAGCTTGTTCGCCCGTCACGCATGGAGAACGCTTGACCCTAGATATAACCACATCGAGCAATCGACATTATCGCAAATCATCACGGTGCAGTACACATGCCACTAGGCCAAACTATCGAGTCCCACTGACTTCTGCCCAAAGTTCATCATCATCAGCTAAGCAGGCCGCATACGCCTACAACATCCTCAGCGCAACGCCCGAAGCACAGTCAGAAGGCCCTTACCTCTAGCTCGGCTTGCGCGGGGGCCACTGCGATGGACAACTGAGGTTTCGTCAAAAGCTACAACATACCCTCTCAGGCTTTGAACGACAGGCCGGACATATCACAGGACACTTACATCTTCGCTGACGGCACTAAGGCCTTCAATTAGGGCATCCCAGTCACGTTCAGGTAGTTCGCCCATTGTTGCACCGAGGTTCGCGAGATAGTCCGCACCCTCGTTGCCTTCCTCGCCCGCGTGTCCTTTCACATATTGGAGATGGACCTAGTATGACGCTCTCACTGACCAAGCACGAGGGAGGATTACCTAGAACCAACTTACCTTCTGACCTTCGCGGGCGCGCTGATCGAGCAGCGCTGACAGATATCGGATGAGCGGGGCATTCTTGACGGGCTGCCCATTCACCGACACGAAATTATTTCTCATCCACTTCGGCATCCAATCCCGGAAGCCTGTGACATACATTCAGCACGACAAGAGCTAGAATCAACGGGTGACATCCGTAGTTCCTCGCGACGGGCGATGGACCTTCGAAGGCATCCGTCCCAACTACTCACAGCTTATGCTGTACTTCGAGTCCGTCTTGATGAGCAACGGCCGTTTATGGTGCGGTGCCGTCTCCAGTACCCGGACAATGGCCTGCGTTGAGCTCAGCATGATGCAAAACGGGCCATATACCGGCATAACGAACGACTAATTCGGCGCGATTGTTGGTTTGTCCTCCGGGGCATCTTTCAGCGACGTTTCTGCATCTGGTGAGGTTACAAATACAAGCGAGTTGTCATTACTGGCATACCTCGGATCGTCTCGTCCCCACCACACACCAATACCAGCCACCGACCCCGGCTTGCCATTTCCCTTACATGCCCCGTCCGAGTATACTACGTCCCAACCTGACTCATCTTGGATTCTCTCGGTGGTCAACGACGCCCATCTTGAGGATTTCGAATCACCCGCCTTGCTCTCGGGCTTCGAGACGGAAGCGACGGGTTTTGTATATGGCTTAGCACCGTGTTGTCCACGTTTCCAGGTGGATGGAATCGAAGAAGACACTGAAGAAGAGGGAGGGGGCTTTGGAGTATCGTTGTTGGTGTCAATGCCGTGTTGCGAAAGGTAACTCTTTGCGTGTTCCAGAGTCGAGAATTTCTGGTGCTTGTTGCCAGTGAAACCAGTGACCTGTTGTTGGCATTCATCCCTGGGGCGTGAACAGTGCGTCAAGGGGATGTTGCGAGGCAAGGTCACGATAACAACGTACACACCAAGTCGTATAGATCCCTGGGACACGCCCTTTTGCGACGGCGTAGAACGCGGGTTTACCGGCCTTGGGCATGACGGGACGAGAGCGCGCAGTAGTGGGAGCGGAATGAGGAGTGTATTGTGAGACGTTGGGAAGAGAAACACGCCTGAGAGAAGGTCTCGAGCGAAGGGGCGAGCGTCGCGCGTAGATCCTAAAACGAGGATGTCTGAATAGGACGTAGACAGCCAGCGTGAGACCTCTCTAGACAGAAACGAGGATTTCTGACAAGACTCAGGTAGAACTGGCCAGTGAGGCCGATTGAGCGAGCCACGGACGAACGGTACGGTACGGACAGTGGGTTGTGAGTGGTTCGGAGGAGAGGAGATGCGGCCTCGGCGTCACCACGACGTCGGCGCTGTGTCCCCGCTACTTAGGACTGACTCTCCTGCTTTGACGTCCACCGTATTTGAAGCTTTCTCTTGTCTCGACTATCGGGAAACGCATGTCTAGCTATGAAGATCTCTTTGAGTCCAGTGTACTCGAGGTCATAGCCCCTCCTCCATCTCTCGAGTTCCCATCCGAGTACACCGGCCAGAAGGCGTCGGACTGGATCGCTCGCCTGCGGGAGCCCTTCGCAGACAGGAAAACAGCGTTCTTTGGTGCGTGCGCAATGCTCCCATAACCTTAGCTGCAGGAGACTGAAGAAACGAGACCAGATGAGAACATGGACTTCTTCCTAACAATTCGTTTTCCGTCACTGTCAGAGGAGGAAGACCCCGCTACAGACTCAACGCCTCAGCCTCCCTCCCACCTGCTCTCGTTCCTCGCTCACCTACAAATATCCTATGAAACCTCGTACATCTCTCCTTCTGCTACTGGGTCAGAATACACACCTGGGTCCCGTTTGTCTATGCCCCCTCCTCGGAACAGCTCTATGCAGCGCAACAGACCGAACGCGCTGCTCGGCGGCCCATCCTCAATATTTCCTCCCCATACCCCTCACCCTATACCTTCTGCTGCAGAATCTGACTTGAAGTATGTCCAATCCCAAGGTACGCCTTTGGTTTCTGCGATCTGGGGCGAATCCGAGAATCGCGACAAGGAGGCGTTCGCTCTACTGTGGGACGCGAGCGAGCAGTTGTGGATCGCCATGTACAAGATGACAATACTTGTTTGTAAGTCTTCAATTCCACATCCTATACTCCGTGCTGAGATTGAACGCCAAACTAGTGTTCATGGTCACCAAGGTCCCTGACCCTCTCTTGTGTATCACCGTCTCCACGACGCTTCGTAACAAGCCACTAGCCGTCACTCCACCCCGGAAAGCCCTTTCTGCACTTATAGATGCCGCCGGAGGCTTGAATTCTGAGCTGGTGTCTTCGCCGGTTAAGGAGAACGGCGTAGATCATGACTCCGCTCATAGCGACGACGACGAGATCCTCTCTGGATTGCAGGAGGTGAACCTTCTAGAGGGTCTGGCAGCAGGTTGAATTGCTTCTCTCCTTCCATGCTGCGAACATTACTCACGTGTCATTCAGGCCCGACATTTACGGATCCTCACAAGCGACTCTCCCTGCCTTCTACGCGCCTGGGCTCTACCACTCGTCAGCACGCATTCTCTCTCGCTCCGGCACCCAACGCGTCTTCGTCAGACACGCCTGTGCCTTACTCGGGCGGTGTCATTTCTCCGCCAGCCGGAGGTAGTATCAGTAGCCTGAGCAGTCTGCCCAAGGCTGCCACCCTTCGCAAGTCTTTCCGTAAGACATTGAACACCCACATGGGCTTTAGAGTCCGTATGCGCACGGTTTTCGTGCCATACTTCCTTCTTCCACAGGACGCCCCGAACGGTATCACACAGAAGCCCCGGCGTGTCAAGGACGCTGGTCTGAATGCCTCCGACTCTGATTCGGATCTGGACGACGACATTCTGGAAGAGCGCGAACAGCGTGAAGCCGGGAACGAAGAGCACACCGTCGTGCTTAGCGTCGAAGTCGAGAATTTGTTTGCAGGATCTTCCCCTGGCTCTTACCATATTGAGGTCGAGCGTGTGGACGTCGCGATCAGCGGTTCAGGTGCTCGCGCTTCATTCATTGGATGGGGAGGGCGTACTACGGACGTGTTTCCCCTGCAGGTCGGTCCGCGGGAGCAGATTAATCTACTGTATGCAGTTTCGTTCCTCAGGGGTCCCGAGGTGGATGAATTCTCGTTAGCAAGGCCTGCCGGCGACAAGAGAGGTGGTCCCACAGAGGAACTTCAGCGAGCCGTCACGATCCACCTCATCGTGCGACCCTTCGAGCCCAAGGGTGGCGAGGCCTTCTACCCAACCCACCCATTCCCTTCAAGATGGAACTGCGTGCTCGACTTAGCATCGTCTAGCGTCCTGAAACAGAGGCACGAGTCCGGTGAAGCTGAGGAGGACGGTAATCAAGAGTACTTTGTTCTTCCTACTCCGGCTTCACCGTTCCCTACCGCACCCCTCGCTCCGCCTCAGCGGAGTCTCACTCCTCTGACCACCAAGCACACCATCCCTTTGACGGCGATCGCAGGTAGCAAGCGTCATACCATTGCTGCATTCGATACGCCCATTAGTGATTATGCGCGCATGCCAAAGTCGCCTATGAACTACCAAAGTTCAACGTCTATGCTCAACCCCCAGAATCAGCCTCCCGCTCCTCCGAATTCTAGCCCGACGCCAACAGGCCCTGCTTCCGGACAGACCCTCCATATTCCTAGTCGCACTTCATATATCCCGCCCTCCGTTTCCTTCCAGACAACCTTTCCTCGATCACCCACAACGTATGCCCCGCCGACCAGCCCGCCACTGCCTCCCCCTCCATCCAACCCACTCGCGGCTTATGCGCAAACACCATCAGATAGCTCGAGCACGGTCAATGAGATGTTCGACTTCACTATACCCCGTACGCCCGCATACCCCGCCTATCCGAGCTCACCCGCGCCTGTGCCGCCAACGCCATTCTGGCAAACACCCATCGCCCAACAATCTGGTCCTGGCGCTGTAGGCCCGAGCGTCGAGATCCGTCGTGAACGTGGAGGAAACATTCCTCAGACCCCGGGTCCTACCGTGGGCGGGTTCGGAGGACTTACGATAAACCCGATGAACGCTCTGCAACAAGCTGGCGAGACCGCTTCGATCGATGGAAGCGGAGAAGCGGTTGTCGTGTCCGTCGGGCTCCTCCCATCACCCGGCCGCGCTGGAAAGAAGCCGCACACGGGCGAGCTGTACCCGTTGGATCAATTTACCTTGGACATCTTTGTGTTCAACCAGTCATCGTGGACACGACGATTCGAGGTGAGCTACCCCGAGGAGCGTAGAAGACGACGGAAAGCGAAGGAGAGGGGCGATGGGTTAAGGGAGGTTCGCCCACCAAGCATAATCCCGCTCCAGAATCGCGTTCGTATCGGGTACGTCACATGCGGATCTATTCCAGACTATGGTTTCATGACATTGCATAGGCCGCTCCTCCCGTCGACTTGCCAATCCGTGCGCATGGACTTCTTGGCACTTGCGCCTGGCGTTCATCCAATCGATACGCTGACCCTGACGGATATTCAGAGTAACTTTACCATGAATCTCAGGTACGTCTTCGGAGTCTATTCGTTATGGCTTATATGATCTCATACTTCAACACACCAAGGTCTGTCATCGACATCATAGTGCATGAACCGAAAATCAAGGAGACTTCGTCGTGATATTGTGTTCTCTAAGCGACCTAATTTATTCTTTTCCGTCGTCGTATTGACCTGCGACGACAAGGCTGAACTTCGTGCTTTCAATGATTGGTTATGGTGGCAGTATTGTAGAGGGCGGTCATGAAAGTCGTGAATATGATAACAGAAGTACAATGATGCCACACCAACAAAGGACACATGCGAGACGGCCCAATCACCGACGATCCGTCTTGCCCATCTTCCGCTTCCCAGCGAATAGATGTTTTGGCTGTGGAGTGAGGCGGTTGGTATGTAACAGTTCACTGTAACAATGGAAGAACGTACCATTTTGGTCTTGATAGCGCGGTCGCTCTCTCCCGCGCGTGCCTGCATGTTGCGCTCTCTCTGCCCGAGATTCCGCAACTTGACAGCTTTTGATGCTTGCTGTGAATACGTAGCGTTGAGTCTCTCCGATCGCTGCTGAAAATAAAGCGGCACTCACCGCCTCGTCCCGCATACCCGCAAGCTGACGATTCGACCTCGGATGCCTCGCGCCCTTCGCAGCGACAGCGCCCGAGTTCGCCTTCGCTTTCTTCAGCCGCGGGGCCTCCTCTCCATCGACGTCCATCCACTCGTCCTCGCCCCCGTCGCCCATCTCGGCATCCTCGTCCACATCCATCTGCGCCTCGTCTTCCTCGCGCTGGCGTTTCCGCTTCGCGCCGGCGACCTTCGCAAGTATCTCCGCGCGCTCCTGTATCCTACTCGGATCGAGGCCGGCCTTCGTCATCTCTGATGTGAGCTCAGAGAGAGTACGCAAACCGGCTGTGCGAGGGAGCGCGGCCCGGTTCTTCATCGCCTTCTTCGTGCTCTGCGAAATGAGCTTCTTCTCGCGCGCCGACTTGGCTGCAACCGCTTCGCGCTCGTCGTCCGAGTCAAACTGCGGACACATCTGGTCAGCATACGACCAGAAGGGTTGAACAGCGTGTGGACATACCATGTCAGACTCGGAATCGTAGAAGCCTTCAGCCTCAAGCTTCTCCTCTTCCCGCTCCAGCGCATCGAGCTTCTCGAGGATATCGGGGTCGATGAAGTCAGCAATGTTCTTGCCGTCCATAATCTCAGGCATGACGTCGTTCTTCCATTCATCATTCTCAAGCAAGTAGCTCTCTGCTCGGCAAGCGCTTGGTCAGCTACCGTCAGTAACCTCCACTAGATAGAAGAGACGTACTCTTGAGGTTGATGTTGTAGACCCCTGCGCCGCCCTCCTCAGCCTCGACGTCGCGTTCGAGGCGACGACGCTCTGGATCGTTTTGGTCATATTTTTTGCGCTCCTTGATGGCGTCGGGTATGAACGGCGCACGAACGACGTCGTCGCGTGGCTTGGGCTGGGCGACATGAAGACGGTTCAAGATCCCGTTGACCTTGTTGCCCTTCAACTTCATGTCGACGCGGTGCTCGAGAAGTGCATCGCACGCCGTCGTCTTCAGCACGGTGACGCCCTCGTCGGTGTAGCACGAAACCTGGACGTGCCGGACACCCTCCGCATTGATGATCTCGTCCACCATCGCGCGACGCTCGGGCGCGAGGTCGTCCAAACGCGCAACGTCGACCTTATTGAGGACGAGCACGGTGGGCTTGTTCGCGAAGAGCGGCTTGATCGCATGGAAAAGCTGGCACTGCGCCTCGACGGAGTAGCCACACTGTTCCGAAAGGTCCATGAAGTACAATACGCATGCCTTGAGGTGGGCAAGCGCGGTGATGCTCTGCATCTCGATATTGTTCATCTCCTCGAGGGGGTGATCGAGGATACCGGGGGTATCGATGACTTGCCAGCGCATGTAGCGGTAGTCGAGGTGGCCGACGAAGAGCGACTTGGTCGTGAATGCGTACGGCTGTACGTCGACATCTGCGCGAGTGACTTTGTTGAGGAAGGACGACTTTCCAACATTGGGGTATCCACAAATGAGGAGGGTACGGGCGGTAGGGTCGATAGCGGGAAGACGTGAGAGATGTTTCCTGACCTCCTCCAAGAATTCGAGCGCTTCATTCTGCCGCTTCATGATAGTGGCCATACGACCGAGGGCGGCGCGCTTGAGCTGCTTGCATCGGTAGAGGGAATCGCCGAACTTGAGGAGACGGACGTAGTCCTTCGCGACCTGGTCGATAAGATGGCGGGCGGTGCGAAGTTGACCCAGAGCGAGCTTGTAGTGATTCTTGTCGTAGAGAACGTTGAGGAGAGATGAGAGGAAAGGGTGAAGATCCTGCAAATTTTCGTTAGATCCACCATTCGGATATGTAGTTCATACAGCGAGTAGATTGACAGCCGAGGCTAGCAGGAACCACGACGGCGCAAAGTCCAAGAAAGACAATTTCGACATTCGCCTCAACCCTATGAGATTCGTCTTGCAGTCTATTGAGAACAAGTAGGGTCCTTGAAGCGGGTTCCATGACAGTGTACCCACTGACGGAAACTCTGAGGCCACCCGTACGTTCACGAAGGTCGCAACTCAAACGCGGCACCATCCTAAGATAGGAGGCCATAGCTCGGCCCCTGATCTCTACAAGACACGTACAGCACTAGCTTGACCAAGCCAATAGTTTCGTGCAAAGGGGGTGTGCATGGAAACTGTCTTCCCACTCCCAAGAGAAATCAGGCGGGGAGGAAGAAGCCACACCTTGCGCATCCGTCGTGCCCTTTACGAACCTACGTTCAACCATGACTGGAGACTCACATCGATGATTGGGAACTCCTCCAAGATTGCGCCAAGCTTCTCATCGAACGAATCTTGCGTGAATTTGACCTTGCGCATATAGAAGTTACGGATACGGCTAATCTTGAAGTTTTTATGGATAACCTGAAGCAACCCGTGAGCACAGATGCGGTATTCGTGATCTTTCTTAACAAACGCACAGTAGGGGTCTTCCGCTGCGTTTTCGAGAGAACGATATCGAGGAAGTCCGATGCCTTGGGCACCGGAGCGATCGCTTTGAGTCCGCTAGTCGACATCTTGCTCGGTTGACATAAACCAAAGGTAATGTAGAGATCAGGCAAACCCCAGTAAGACTATGAGCAGAGAGATTGCCAGGGAGGCGATAGGAAAGGAGAACGCTCAATGTCTTCACCGAGCAAGCACTTCTCAAATTTTGGATTACGTAATATTGCCGCCCACATGCTGGGGGTGCTGTATGAGCGCTGGTCTGGGGATACACCGAGTCGATGTCGACTTAACCGCCTTGGCTGCTACCTCTGTCTTCCTGTCACAGGACTAACCTAGCTTCGGAACCTCGGAAATTTTGAATACCCTGCTCAGTGTTATGTTTCAAGACTGTGATCGTCATCATGTAGCCCAATCCGTATATGTAGCGGAGGGGCGTCGGAACAGAGCTTCGTTCCAGACCAAGTTTCTCACATCAGTTCTGACAAATGCAACGAATGTAAATGTACGACTAGAGTTATTGAAGCACTGCAGAACGCAAGTGGCCATGGACTTCTTTCGTTACAGACACAGGGGATTATCCGATGGAAGAATTATCCGCGTATTGCTGCTTGGCTTCGAGGTCAGCGATCAAATCGATCAAAGTCAACCCGTGCTAGTTTGTGTACGCTCTAGTGTTCTTGGCAGAACGCTGCCACTCTGCCAGAGGCAATTGCCAGGCGGCAAATGCCATTTTGCCGGCCACCGAGACCGCCAGTTGGTGGCAGATACAGGGCGCTTGTTGGGCGCTTGCTGTATATGGGACCGTCGCCGATCGACCAGAGACGGACTAGCTGCAGTGTCCTTCCACACAACGCGAGAGAGAGGGTTTCCTCCTAGAAATTTGTATCATGAATGAGTATTTGGGAGGTTCCACATGGGGCGGCTAGGCTTTGGAGGCTATCCCAGTGCTTGACCGATCGGCCGGAATTCTCGGCTAACTTTGTGAAGTCGCTCCTGTAACTGTCTTCTGTTGCGGGGAGTGGACGAACAACATCATATACGTAGAATCCAGGTCCTGATCTCAACTTCAGAGCCCAGGATGATACTCAGTGGCCTCTTTGGCTTACTCTACCCACTTTTCCTCGCCCGAGGCTCCCCAGTAGCGCGTGCCAATCTGCCAGTATTTGCCGGCCCTGGCAATTGCCGTTTTGCCATTCTGCCATTTGCCGGAGGCCGAAACTATTCTGCCCTGTACACTAGTACGCTCTCACGTAGACGGTGCTACCAGAGCTGTGACTAGGAAGCAAGCAAAGGATGAGGCCTAGCGGTAGCAATAACCGCCTATCGACGTAACGTTCAGTACTCAGTCTACTCAACGCCAGACGCGCGCTCGTCTATCCCACTAGTACTTTCATCCACTGGCCCTCGACCCTAAGCAGACTGCGCATTCGTCACAGGATCGCTCAAAGCTTGCGGCTCACGGCAGAGGCCACCGCCTTCGAGGTCACGCCGCATAGGCTACGACGGCTACACGGTCACTGCTGACTTCACCGCAGCCGTAGCTCCTTGGGGCCACAGGACGAAACTCTCTCCACCCAGGTATCTCGAACATTAACCTGCGTATCGGCTGCATTCGTCACGATGGACCTCGCTTCTCAACGCTGGTGCTATGGGCTAGGGTTCGGGCCCTCTCGACTCACTTGATCGCTGTACGCACGCTGCGCTGTCTGGTCTGCTGATCAGCTCGCATCCCGGGTCTTCGCGCGGACGACATGCGGGTTCCTGCGGACCTGGCCACGATACTTGTGGGACGGTGAACTGTGAGTATGTACTGAGTCCGGAAGCCTTGCGATCGTCCAAGAACGGAGCAACACGGCGACTTGTCAAGGGGTTCTCCTCATTGGTGAGAAGATCGCTGGAGAGAAGGAGGCAGAATCCCTGGGGAGCGCGACCGCGTCCCGGACGCTGGGAAGATCCCGAGGAACGACATAGGGAGAGTGTGTCGACCAGCGGCCATGAGGCGTCTCGATGTGGACTCGGAGTTTCTGGCTGGAAAGGCCGCGGTTCGAGGCCCTGGGTTCTTGCGGACCGCTCCAGGATATGTGGCATGTCCTGCGGCGGAAGAGAAGATAGGGCAAAGCAACTTTCGTCATTGGCGTCACAGGGATTAATGGGGATTCAGGGACTCTCCACCGAACGATGGTGAGTAGCTATCCGATCTGGGAGTTGTGCTCGATAGCCGTGCTATAAGCAGGCAGAAGTCGGTGCGGCAGCCGAAGTGAGGGGTCGTAGACGACATCGAGGGTTGATCAGCTTTCATGAAGGGGATGATCACCATATGAAGTGAAGCTGAACGGGGCACTGCGAGGCGAGGAGGTAAATCTTGCATCTCCGTCCGGATGAGGCCAGCGTCGTGGCGGGCGTCGTGGCGAGCGTCGCAGTCTCCTCCGGTTATCTCGCACTACGAGACGCCCATATCGACGGCTTTAGGGCAGGGCTACCTTCCCGATTGGGAAGACAATCATCTTTCTGCTGGCCTGCTGCCCGAGCTCCCGTTCCTCCGTCGCTGTTCTCAACGCCTCGTGTGCAGCAGCGGCATAACTGACCATCCTCGCACGACGGATCTCCATCTGATCCTCTCCTGCGACACCCACCATGCCTCCTCCACCCCCACCTCCCCCACCTCCAATCTGCCTTCCTTTCTTTGGCGGCAAGAAGAACCGCCGCAGACTCACGTACTCTGAGCACACCGCTACCGAAGACTACAGCTCTCGTCGCTCCAGCATCGACCGCCTCGGCTCCGATTCCTACTCCCCCACCGCTACTCTCACCTCTCGGGCAGAGAAACTCACCTTCTCATCCGAGACCGAGTCCTTCAATGTCAACGACTATTCCGATGCCGCTCGCGACGTCACTCCTGTCTTGCCCGTCCTCAAGCGTTCCAACACCATCTCCACCGCCAAAGAGAAGCAGAATACCGGCAAGAAGTGGGGCTATGGCTGGGGTCTCGGCAAGAAAGACAAGGTCCAGGTCGACATGAATGAGAAGACCCGTAGTCCTGGCTCTACTCCTCCTCCCAACTACAACTCTCCCCTTAGCGACAATCGTTCTCGTGAGACGCGATCCACCCACTCGCGTTCCGCCCACTCCCACTCTTCTAGTCAGCTCGACTATGCCCAGTCCGGTGCTTCTCCTCGTCGAGCCCGCTCAGTGTCCACCAACGGCAGTCCGATTCGCTACATTCCCCCGCCCTCTAATCACAAGCGCTCCGACACATACAAGTCTAACACTACCAAGGGCAGCGGCAGGAGCGGCCGTCCCGCCCTCTACCCCTCCGAGTCCTCGAGCACCCTCGTCGGCTCTGCCTTCGAGCGCAAGGTTCGTGATGAGGACCCGATCTCCGACAGGCCGGACACCTCGAGCAGGCTCGACAGCCTCAGAGATCTCATGCGCAGTCACGACCTTGACTATTAGTAAGTCGCTCGCATGATCCTCTCCGTGTCAGCTAATCTGGTCGTCCAGTGTCATCCCTAGCGAAGACTACCACGGCTCAGAATACATTGCTCCCCATGACAAGCGGAGGGAGTGGATCTCTGGGTACGTCCGCTATGCCTACACCGACCTCTCCGATGTCCGCTGATTGTGTGTTTCCAGGTTCACCGGATCTGCCGGGCAGGCCGTCGTCTCCAGGAACTCCGCCTACCTTATCACCGACTCCCGTTACTGGCTCCAGGCGCGCGAGCAGCTCGACCATAATTGGGTGCTCGTCGAGGCCGGCAACCCTGCTTCAGGCGTCAAGGACTGGACGCAATGGATCATCGATCGCGCCAAGGACTCCAAGATCGGCATCGACGCCCGGCTCATCTCGTATGAGACTGCGACAGCTCTCAACAGCGCGCTCAAGCCCAAGAACTCGAAGCTGCACTATCCCCCGCAGAACCTCGTCGACCTCGTCTGGCGCGAAAAGCCCCCGCGTAGCAAGGAGCCGATCTATGTCCAGCCTCAGGAGTTCACGGGCATGAGTGCGGGTGAGAAGCTTGCGCGGTTGAGAGAGTGGGTTCGGAGGCAGCGCCCGACGATGCCGTCGTACTCCAAGTCGGAGCCCAAGCCGTCGCAGATGCAGGTTGCGACGTTGATTTCGAATCTCTCGTCCATCGGTATGTAACTTTCGGCTCCTTGCTTCGAACGAGATCGACTCATGTTGGGGTCAGCTTGGATGCTGAACTTGCGCGGCGACGATATCCCGTTCAACCCGGTGTTCCATTCGTATCTCTTCGTCGGCCTTGACAGCGCTGTCCTCTTCATCGAAGAGGCGAAGCTCACCGACGAGGTCAAGGGCTACCTCACCTCCATCAGCGTCACTTGGCGCGATTACAACGACCTCTGGACGTTTTTGCGCCGCAAGGAGTGGGGCGAGGGCAACGTAAGTCGGCTACCGCTCTACATTTGGGCGGTGATTTCTCACTATCTCACCGCCTCGCAGGTTATCATACCCCCTCAGACGTCTTACGCGATTTGCCTCATGATGACGAGCTTCCGGTACACGGTTCTGCCGTCGTACGTCGACGAGATGAAGGCAGTCAAGAACGATGTTGAGATCAATGGCCTCCGTAATGCCTACCTTCGCGATGGCGCGGCGTATGTCCGCTGGCTTGCCTGGCTGGAGCAGAAGCTCCAGCAAGGCTACGATATCACCGAGTACGAGGCGGCGTGGCGTCTTACCGAATACCGCCGCAAGAACAAGCATTACATGGGTCTCGCTTACGAGAACATTTCTGCGACCGGGCCTAATGCCGGTGAGTCTATTTGTTGCATCCCTGCCGATAGCCACGCTGAGGTGTTTTGACTGTGCCTGCAGCACTGCCTCATTACGTCCCACACAAGGCGACTGCCAGGATGATAGATCGCGACACTCCCTATCTCAAGTAAGCTATCAGCATCACTGACAATCACCACGTTTCCGACCACTCATCTGCAATCGCGTAGTGACTCGGGAGGACAGTACCGCGACGGCACTTGCGACACGACACGGACCGTCCACTTCGGCCGCCCGACCCCCGAGCAGTGCGAGGCTTTCACACGCGTCCTGCAAGGCCACGTACGTCCACCTCATCTCGCCTGCCAAACCGCATACTGATTGATAACGAAACACGTTTCACAGATTGCTATTGACTCCGCTATCTTCCCAGAGGGCACGTCTGGCGCGAAGCTCGATGTTTTGGCGCGGAAGGCGCTCTGGCAGGATGGGCTGAACTACATGGTATGCCGTTACCTGATACAATCATCCGGATGTGTTTGGCTGACAGCGGGCGTGGTTGCAGCACGGCACCGGGCATGGGTTTGGCTCGTTCCTTAACGTTCACGAAGGCCCGCAAAGCTTCTCGTCAGACACCGTCCTCGTTCCGGGGCACGTGATTACCAACGAGCCGGGCTATTGTACGCCCTTCCCGTCGTCTCCTCACACAGTCGCTGACGCCTCATGCCCTGTAGACAACGCCGGCAAGTGGGGCATGCGAATAGAATCCGCGCTCGCCGTCAGGCGTGTCAAGGTACGTCTCTTCCACCGTTGCCGCCTGCAGGCAGTTCTGACCATAAGCGACTGCGCAGACCAAGGGCCAATTCAACGGTGACATCTGGCTTGGTTTTGAGCGTCTCACTGTCGTACCTATACAGACGAAGATGGTCAAGGAGGTCATGTTGTCCAAGGAGGAACGCCAATGGCTCAAGGTATGCCGCGCGTGTACTTGTATTCCGTCACACGGGAGGCTGACCTCGTCACAGGACCACAACCGCCGCTGTCTCGAACTGCTCGAGCCGTTCCTGCGGGACGACAAGCGCGCATTAAGGTACCTCCGCAGGGAGGCGGAACGTGGTATCGGCATCGCCGGCGCTGGACCCGGCGGCTTGACGATCGACTGGGATTGATTCCCGTCCTATACCTCAGCGACTCGGACGACTCATGACCCTATTATCCCATGTCTAACGCCTATGGACCACCGTCCTGCTGGTCTGGTTCATTCTCGTGCTGACAGTTAAACTTCGGACTCCGGGACGCTGAAGCATCGTTCCGGACATCTCTATGCCACCTTCCCCCCACTCACGATTCTCGTCCCAGATGTTTTCAACCCAATTAACATGCTTCTGGTCCTATCTGCGCTTTATTGTCTCGACCATCCTGTTTGCCGCTATGTCTCCACGACATTGTACGACTTACATATATCCTAACGTCCAGCCAGGGGTGTCGTAGGGCATTCCCTCTAAAAGCCGTCTCGTAACGTCTCTTTCATCCCCAGTGTTTTCACTTACTCGTCTATTCCCTCTTGTAGTTTGCTAGCTACATATACACCATAACCCATATATCCTCTGCCATCGGATTTTTGACATCCTATCCTGCTATCACGGATCCAGATTGGATACGTTATGCTCCCTTCTCTCTCCTCGCCTCTGCCTCTGCGCCTTTGCCCTTGTTTCTATTACTTATGGCGTCCGCGACAAGGCGCAGTTACCGGTTCTGTATATTGCTTGTGGGTCGTTTCCGTCTTGACTCTTCCTTCCCATCCGCTCTCCGGTCTCCGGATGCGGAGCGCAACCCCCTCTCCCGTAGATAGATGCTGAGCCCCAGGGTTCTGTTGTATGTACGGCTCGGAATATATCATTCCCGCCGCTTGTAAAGTACCTTCCCGGGTGCAAGAGGATGGCAATCGGAGTTGCCGGACTCGATGTCGGCTCCCCATAGAAGGACCTATCCTAGACATATATAAACTTTGCACTCGTGGTGCCCCCGTACACAGCTCATTCACGCATCAAACGCATCCAGGCTCAGTCGCGTGCCTCGAGTATTAGGCATCTTCGCCAATGGTTTGTCAACGCGAATGGACTATCCAGAATTGTCTCATGACATATTACTTTGTCCCTAAGTAGCGGATCGAAGGCATCACCGGGCGCTCGTCGCCCTGCGCTTTCCAAACTCTTCGTCTATAGAGCGGGGGCCTCTCTGGACAACGTTTGGTGCGGGCGGCCAACTGCAGAGTTGGGCTTCATTGCTGACCGAACACGGTTGGACCAGACATCTTTTGCTGTGAGCTGAACAGCTGTCAAACGGAACGATACTCGATCGACTTCATTACAGTATATAGATATGCGGAATAGATACAATTGCGTTGAGTGCAGAGCCTTCATTCGATGACAGAGATACAAGTACAGAACTTGACGTGTCTCCAGGAAAGACAGTAAGCGTAGCTGCAAAATGAACAATGTCTCGTTTTCGAACTCCAGAAATTGACGAGAGCGGCTTGCATTCAAATTTTGACTTCCTCGATGATATCTTCCGACGGGGCCTTCTCCCTATCTGAACGCCGGTCCGAGATGGTCACGCCGGCATTCACGGCTGCATGCTGCGTGAGCATCTCTACGTTGTCGTCGCCGTCGAACAAGCTAGTATACAAGCAGTCAGCCTACGTTCATACAAGTATAGAATGCACGTACGCAGCGGTCTCCTCTAACGTGCGCTGAAAATGAGAAGGAGTCAGCTAGGGCATAGGAGTAACGATGATAGACCACTTACGTTCTTGGTCTCGATCAGATAGCGCCAGATGAAGCCGATCTCGAATGCGAGCCAGCATACGTAAACAAGCTATAGGCAGTTAGCTAGAGAGCCAACGTCGAAAACAGCCTCACGTACATAGTACTTCCATCCGAGTCTATGCATATGTTGTTGTCAGCTCAGAAGATCTACAGACTTTGCAATTACTCACTTGGCCAATGCGATCGGGTTGATGTACCTAAAATTTGGTTAGTCTTATCCACATTGAGCACAGAGTGGACTGACTGGTTGAAGATCAATGATAACGTGAGCGAGAAGTTGAACACAGTAAAGCCCTTCGCGCGAAGGGCGAATGGCAAAATCTCGACCGTGTAGGATACAATAAGCGGCGTGAAGGCGATCTGCATGTGTCGTCAGATGTCTGAGAAGGGCAAGTCCTAGTGGCTCACGCACGTCATCTAGAACCCGAACATTCAGCAAGGATCTCATCCAAGGTACAAGTGTGACACGTTACTTACAAAAGGCGTAGAAGAGGACTTTGAAACTAAGGATTAGTAGCCAGAAGAATATGACATGATGGTTACGCACAGATCATGGCGATGAAAGTGTGGGCAGCAGCGATATTTCCTGTCTCGGAGTACAACGCGAAACAAACAGTTTGCAGCACCCAAAACACAAACATGCCTAGAGATGTGATGTGTCAGTGCTATGTCGCAAAAAGTCAGCGAAGAGTCTTACCGATGGTCGAAGCGATGAACAATGGGCGCCGACCAATCTTGTCGCAAAGGAGCCCAGCAACGATGGCGATGATGAAGTTATAGATGTTCAGACACCCATTCTGCAGAGGGGGGGAGCATTGTGGTAAGCAAGTGCGTGACAACAAACGACTTAATATACTCACAATGAGCAGCTGAGTGTTCGGATCGGTGACTTCAACGAGGCGACAACCTCAACGACTGATTAGACGGAATAACGACATTGCGGTGCTCACTGCCAATGGAAATGAAGATCTTATTCATGTCTGGAAGTGCGAACGTGAGATGTCATCGGACTCGGAGCTTCGGTTCGCTTACAGTACGAGCTGACAAAGCGAAGATGTCAATCAAGAGCCATACACTGGCATAATGAAGTAGCGACGCACATGAGATTGTTCCCAGACCATTGCGAGAAGAACGCAATCGCGATCATGATCCTCAGGCGACGTCTGTTCCCCGGGGTCTTGATGAGACTTGACCAACCGACGTTTGCTGCAATCTCCTTGTCGAATTGAATGGCAGCACGGATCTCCTCGAATTCGTACTCTACAAGTGGATCGTTGCTAATCCTTTCGTCAGCGAGGGATTGGTACGGCAGCATTCACTCCCGGCTTACCGATTTCCATTTGCGTGGTAGTAAGCCAGAGTCCTGAGCGCTTCTTCCTCGCGGCCCTTCGAGCACAGCCAACGCGGCGACTCTGGAATGAACCAAACAAGAAGAACTTGGATGACTGAGGGAAGAGCCTGGATGGCGGACGGAATACGCCAAGACCAACTCGTGGGGACGTGAAATGTGCCGAATGTCTGTCGGACCGAGCCTTCAGCGGATGCAGTTCAGCAAAATTAGTACTAGCAAGCGTACCGTCCAAGCAGCGCTGATTAGTTCACGGTACCAATCAGGTAGGTCATTCATCGAACCACGCTGTCACTGCGGACCGGTACTTACATGATACTTCCCAAGAACCTACGGATCATGCCCGACATTCTCTGTCATCGAGTGTAGTACGCGTGCGAAAGGATCGACGCACCATAATGTGTTATACAATGAGGTTGCGGGTGCGCGATGGGTAGGGTATGCGACCTCCGTAACGAGCACCGGAGCCGCAGCGGCCGCGAATGTAAGTCCGAAGCCGATCAGGAAGCTGAGAAATGAACGACGAGTGCATGGGTCAAACCAACTTTGCGCTCAAGAGGGATGATCGCCTTACCGTGCTCCAATGAACATGCCTACGGAGTGCGACGCTGTTTGGAGGACCGTCGCAATGCACATGATGACTGCACCAAAGAGCACCGCTGCACGACGGCCCAGGCCATCGGACATATACGGCGAGAACGGATACGCTGCTAGACACCCGATGTTCTGTATGTGATGAGTCAGATACATATGCGAATCGGATCCTTAATGGAGGGCCACGAACTTGTATCGCACTGAGGAGCCCGAGCTGCGCAGTCGATTAGCATGCGTCTATGGGAAACAGCTCGAGCTGCTAACCTTGCCACCAGTCGGGTAGTTGAACGCAACGTTCCACTGAGGAAGTGACTGCAATCCGTCTAGCGAGTTGTTATTCGATCATTCCACGACGGTGAGATACTGCTGATAAACATACTCATCATACTACCGTCGTATCCGTTCGTCGTCGAGGTGATAAGCCTATGGATAAGTGATGAGCTCGATCTCGGAGGCTCTTGACAACATGCGTAACGTACAAGAGCAGGATGCACAAGTTCAGCTTGATGAGCCGCGTATTCTTCCACCATGGTCTCGACTTGTCGATGAGATGCGCATACCCCTGACCGTTGTCAGTCGACACTGCAGCAGGACCGCCCATGTTTCAGCCGAAGCAGAGAAGCGCAGAAACAGGGTTGTTGGATGTCGAGGAGAGCGGGAGTGGGGGAGCGCAGTTGATTTTCCGGGGCACGAAGACCGATTAAGAACAGGGAAGGCAGGTAAATGTGTCTTCGGAGGCAGAGGGTGTCGGACCAGAGCGCAAGCACAGCACTCTTCCACGGCTGAAACGACGTAGGCACAGATGGAGCACAAACAACGAGGATTGCACGAGCCTGAGTCTTTATCTGTGCAACCCTAGCATGCGGTCGCATTGTGCCCGGGGTTCTCGAAGCGACGCGGGGGAATGTCGCGAGAAGTTTGGATGCGTACTTCGGGTCGATACCCTCGACTGTATTCACAGTGGAGAGACCCGAAAGCCGAATGGGTGGGTAATACATGATAGCGGCCATGATGCTGCTTGCGCAATCGCGGAACAGTAGCGGAAGTGTGAGGATGCACTCACTATCGCACAATGAGCCACGCAAGACTCGCGGACGCCCTTATGGGGATGGGGCGCACGAAGAAGACGCGTCGTAGCGTAGAGCGGGTGCTAAAGAAGCGGGGATCCAGCCATAAGCAGTGGTCGGGACCGACAACTTTGTGCGAAATTAACTGCCGAGCGGGTGTGCGCCGTACAAGCGTGGGTATGTGCGCCAGAGGGAGGGGAGAGTCGAAGCAGGAACCGTACCGAAGATTCTCCTTTGAGCTGGGAGGCAGGGAAATAACCCAGCTTGTAAGTCAAGATATAAACTGTCAGAGGAGCGTGGTGGAAGCATGAAGGAGGCCAAATGGTCGGCCATGTCGCCTTGCCCAGGTACTGTGAGCGATGGAGTGAGTGATCAAGACGATAGGGTGAGGCACGTCTCACAGTCGCCTGTGTGTTATCGATTGACGACAGCCGGACTCACACAGTACGGTACGGCATCCCAACCCGGTCACGTACACTTCGCATGATTGCGAGAATGGCGCATCCCAGGCAGGGAACAACATTTGGTATTAAACTCGGCCAATTCATAGGAAGCTGTGGGGCTGGGTGTCCTTCGCATCCTGTCTTCGCAAAGGTATCTTGCGTTGTTCGGCAGAGATTGCCAACAACAAGTGCTCACAGAAGAAGAGGTGAAGTTCACTCACCCGAGAATACCCCTTGCGCGACAAAACGCTACCACGAAGTTCCTGGAATACTGCAGGAATCTCTCATGACGATCCTAAGGGCTCAGAATATGTTCTGAGAAGTCAAAGAGTTGATTAGCAATCAGACGCAAACAAATCAGTTGCTAAGAGAAAGACCTATCACGATCGCAGTTTCTACTCGAGCCTTTTATTGGCCTTGTTGTGTATTTGATTCGGTTTGTCATGATATCGGATTGAACCATACCGCGAGTGACGTTAGTTGAGAGTCAAGATCATCGACAGAGATGAAGACTACTTCTTCCATGATCAGGCACGGAATGGCCCTGCACATATCAAGAAGCGAGGAAGGAACGCTGGGAATACATCGACGATCATGATGCGTTTGCGAATTCAAGAATGTACCACGACGCTAAGCCTGCGTAGCAGAGGGGAGGGACTCAAAAACACACTGGTCCTTGGCATTGAAGCACGACAATATATTGTGCGATATCTAGCAATTGTTGTTCTGCAAGCTCGGGTCTAGTGGGAGGAGAGATGACAAGGAGAGAGAAGTCGACGTCATTTTTGAACATTATGCGTGCGGTCGGCAAGTGTAGCCCGGTGTTGTGGTTTGTTTGGCATGAATGGCGAGGGCCGCCGCATCCGATACAATCTTACCTTAGAATCGACATTCAAATTGACAAGTATGAAATGGAACCGTCAAAGCAATCTATTAGGTGACCTTATGAACACAATGAGCGGAGAGGTAGAGCACTACTTTTATGCTCGTCTAACATGAGCGCGTCTATGTCGTAAGGCGTGTGAGAGGATAGCATGTGGCAGCAACAATAGCAGCAGCAGACAAGCATTACATGACAATATCAATACGTAGCTCGTCGGTATGTGTCGCCAACGACCACATCGCTTATACATACTTGGAGAACCAAGGGATGAGCGACTGAGCAAGGGTGTAACTAAACACGAGCTTCGGGCCTACAACCAAAATCTGGAGTAAAACAAAATGTCAACGTCTGTGAGCTACAAGGGATCTTTTCCTACGTCACAGCTCGCATCAATGACGCAAGAGCGGCACCGGAAAATCGACATGACGGCAATGAGAGCGACGACAACGAACCTTGGGCGTGAGACCTTTGAAAAGCGCTGTCGGACCCTCGTTCTTGATTAAGTCCTTGATCACTGTAACACCGGAGACTTTGCTCTCAAAATTCGCGTTTTGAATACGCGTCTTGACAGTATCCAGGGGCGCAGCGACAGTGATGGACGCAACAGCACCCGCGATGGAAGCAACGAAGTTCTGTCCCCAAGTTGCCTTGTGATAGTCCTGGATGCCGAACAGATACTCCTTCGTCACTGCGGACGCACCAAAGAGCTGGAGCAGGGAAAGTTTGATAAATTGCTTGCTTTGGAGAGTACTCGATCACATTAGACACGTACCGCGAAACTTCCTGGTGCGTTACGCGCGATTGTCCAACCCCAGCCGCGGTAAAGAGTGGTACCTTCCTCGAGGAATATCCGAATCACGCCACGTCCACGAAACGCTTCGGGATTCACTTGACGCTTGATCTTGAGCGCGTCAAGCGGAAGCAAGACCTGTCGGGCATGATTCGTCAGACAACACCATAGGATAAGCTGAGCTTCACGCAGGCAGCACTCACGACTTCGCCGATACCAGTCAGACTTCGTGCGACGCGTCAGAATATGTTAATCCTTCGGGAGCAACTGTGCGCTTTACCTTCCGGCCGTTGCCTGCAACACCATCTTTCCCTTACGCTCGCCAAAGGTGTTCGTGAAGCTCTCCTTGTAATTCTTCCCGAGGATGTCAGAGAACCATGGCTGTCCTCCGTACTTGTATATACGCTGGGTGACTTTGTAGCCGGCAGCGTAGCCAAGACCAGGGAAGAGGGAGAGAAGCTTGCGACCTAGAGGGGCAGTCGCATACTCCTTGAAGATGATGGACGATAGGGTAGACGAGGAAACCTGCGGACGTTCAAGAGAAGGGCGGAATCTGAGACAATGTGCCAGCGGGACAGCACGGGAGTACGCACTTTGGACTTGTTGCTCATCAAGCGCTTCGCGACGGTATCCACCGGATGAAACACCAGCAGCTCAGCAATTCCTAACCATTGTGTTCATGAAGCGGACAGTCAGGAAGGCTGTCTACACGAACGCACCTGATGCTCCTGAACCAAGTACGCGAGCCGTGCCGGAGTCGCTACCCTTGACATTGAGCTGAGGGGCCATGACGGATAACGTACAAGCAGCAGAGGACGCGAAGACGGACGGCGACGCTCTCCGATGAGCAGATTCTAGAGATGGGAAGGAGAATGCACAACCGTCTTTCCGGAAGACATTTACGACTCTACTTGCAGTCGGAAAGCGGGGCTTGAATCAGCCTCCGGATCTTGGGCGCTCATTCCGGGAGTCACTGGCGCGTGACCAGGATGGCGGGGGATCCCTTCCAGCTCCCGTGTGGGGAAGACTGGCCTTGCTCACTTCGGTCTGTTTTTACGGACGTCCGGAGAGCCGAGGCTCATGGAAAGTCGTCCAGTCACCCAAACCGCCTGCCTTGAACGTGCGGAGTGCAGCCACCGGGGACAAATAGATGACAACAACACAACCACGTCGGACCCGGGCCGGTCTCCGGCCACTGCGCTCGCTCGTCGTATCATAGGACGTCGACGTCATAGTCACTCGCCGCTCACATCTTCGTCTCTTGAGCGATGGCTGCAGAGGACTTGCCTTCAAGTTTCTTCCCCCGTAACCGTCCTCGACTACAACATGGGCTTTTGCTTCTCCTGTTGTAGGCGGCAGAAACCTTCACGCTTGTCCGACCATTCACCCGACCGTGAGCCTCTCCTCGGGGAGGGCCGTATCCCATCTGGATTAGGCTATGTTCGAAAGGACTCCCTTCCACCTCCGCGTACGGTGTACGACAAGGCGGCTGACATAGTCGCTGCCTTGATTGCGGGGAAGCTACCAACTCAGGAACAGGCGAATCGTCTCCTGCGGTATGTGACGAGCTCTGATATACTTACGGAAGAAGTAGCATGGGAAAACGCTCCCAGAACGGAGGAGGAAGAGGGGTTGAGAGATACTTGGAGGAGGTTGCTGGGAGATGTCAGGAATGCCGGGCAGGCGTTACTCAAGTTCGGGATGGAGAAGAACGGTCAGTGGACGCGTAGTGTATTTGTGGCACCCGCCCTAGTGGAAGCTCATGCCTTGTTCACGAATTGGTGTGCTCATTCTTAGATGATGATAGGCTCCAAGATTTGCTCTACCAGTTACGCTCCATTACCGCTGATTCGGTTCACGCAGACGTCGCGCTGGAGGTGGCCCAGGAAGTGAACGTCGATGTAAGCGCAGTTGGTACGTATTCCCATTCGCGATCCTTCCTCTCAGGCCCTCATGTTTATGGGGTAACGTTTCCAGTGCACGAACTTCCTTCACAAGAAGAAGCAGCTTCCGATGCATCCTCTCTTCTCCACTCCATCTACACATTAGCATACGTCCTGCTCACGTCCGCTGCATTCCGGGTGATTCTCTCCGATGTTCTCCTTATAGCACGGCAAGCTGTCGCAGACGTCGCGGCGCGCGTTGGGAATGCTGCTGCGACAGTAGAGAACATCGCTGACGACATTGAAGAAACAGTTCGACCTGGAGGCGGCACGGTAGAAGAAATTAGGTGGAAGGCATCAGAGGCAGTAGACAACATCACGGATGGAGCACTCGAAGGAAACCCTCACGACTACGCGACCGGGAGCACACCAGGAATCACGGAGCAGATCCAACAGGCGCCAGATAAAATGAAAGAGGCCGTAATACGTCAATTGCAGGACGTACGTGGATCTGAATTGCGGTCGTTGAACAACAGGACATCGTAATACTGACTCATTGAACAGGCCGTAGCTCGAGCACACCGACAGCCATCGTTCCGCTCCGCCCTCCGCACAATCCTCAACATCTCACGCAAATATGCCATGAAAGTCCGCGCGGCATCGGAGGCATTCTCCGACGCATCGGCGCCGGTCTTCACGCTCACTCCCGTCGTATGGGCGGACCCTCCTGTATCCCGAGCCCTTGAAAACCTGCGTATCCTTCTAGAGCGAATGTCTTCCGGGTACGATCTCTCCTACCTCCTATCCGCATCCTTGGCGGTCATCACCGACATCGTCGCCGCACCCGCCGAAGCGCTCTCCGAAAGCGAGAGCAAAGTCGTCCTCAGGACCTGGTTTGGCTCCCTCGGAGATTGGCTCGACTGTGCGCTCCGCGATCCCAAGTATGTCACGTCCGAGACAGGCTGCATGCGCATCGAGCAGTTGTACGACCTCGCGCACAAGCTCGTGCAAGACGCCGAGGCCGACCCAGAGTCTCATTGGGTCCAGCATGTCCGGACATTCCTGGCAGAGGTCGATAGCTTCATCTCTGCCCTCGGACAGGACCGCACGACGAACGAGCTCATCAAGTCCTTGTCGGACCTGGCCACGTCCGTCGCCGACGCCGGTGCGGATTTTCGCGCGAGCCTTCCCGGAGCGCTGCGCGGGCGCGCAAGTCTCGCAAGGCGCGAGGCGCTCCAGAGTTTCGCGCTCTGGCTCCTACCAAGGATTTTGAGAGTAGCGAGCGCGATACCGATGCCCCGCATCGAGTACGTTGACAGCACTATCGAAGCTGTGATCGACGCTATACTGTTAACGGCTCCTCGACACGGCGTTCGAGGGGAGGAGACTTTGGGGGTCCAATCGTCGCTCGTTCCAGATCGCGTCAGTGTCCAGAGCTGGAACGAGGTCGTACTCGACATCGATAACACCATCGTCCTCCCTCAGCCAGGCCCCTCCCTTCTGCCCTCCCTAGCGGGCACGCTGGAGCAAGTCGGTCTCGCGGAAGCCGTCGAGGAGGGCCCTCCTCTACCGGCGTCCAAGATCCAGTCGCAGACCACGCGGACGAGCGTGAGCGCGCGGACCCGGACGCGCGTGCATGTAGAGGGCGTGCGTGTGTCCGCCCATGACGTCGCGTACTACATGCTCTACAAGGGCGCACGCTGCTGCGGGCTGCGTGTCCCGTTCACGTCGTACGAGGACGAAGGGCTGATCAGCGTCGACGTCGGCAATCTCGATCCCGACCCTTCTCGGGGCGGCACGGGGACAGGCTTGGTCGTCGACGTCGAGCTCGAGTTCGACTCGGGCGCCGCCGCGCAGCTCGAAAGCAACAGCACTTGGCTGTCGCTTTTCACGAGCTCTGACCCCGGCCGAGCTCCGTCCGCGGGGCCGCTGTTCAAAGTGACCGACGTGCATGTCGACGTCCGCGGGCTGCACATCGACCTAGCCCGCACCCGACATGCGATCCTCAACGGGCTCTTCGTCCGGCCCCTCGCGGGACCATCTGCACGCGCGGCGGTGGCGTGGGTCCTGAGCGAGCAGATCCGCACAGCTCTGGAGAGCCTCGCGCAGTTCGGGGGAAAGGTAAGGGAGAGCGCGCTTGCACGTCAGGGTGCGGGGTCTTCGAAGCCCTCATCGGAAGGAGCCGAAGACGGCAGCGAGGAGAGCGCAGGGGCTGCCGAGGCATGGTGGGGCGCGTTCCTGGAAGAGCTCGGACTCCTCGGGTCCGCTCAGGGTCAGCCCGGTCTTGGTGATGACGAAGGAACCTACGAGGACGAGGACGGAGACGAAGAGACGCCGCTCGTCGAGACGCACACGCGCGCGACGGCCCGAGGGGTCATCCGGACGACCGTGATACAGGACTCTGCATCCACGGGTGCGGACCCGGAGGAGAGCGTGCTCGCTGTCGGGATCGGTCCCCAGATCCTCCCAGGGAAGGGCGGGCCGTACAGCGAACGCTCGTCGCAAGACTCGGACTCACTGGCGGACGATCTCAGTCTGAAGGACGCACGAGTGCGCGCAACGGAAGAGGCCAGGGATGCTGCGGGGGAGGTGACTCAGGCGCAAGAGAGTGCAGAGGAGAGTCTGAGGGCCGATGTCGAGCAGGTGGTACAGATGAGAGAGGAGATAACTGGGGCGGAGGCTAGGGGCGAGGTGAGGACGAGAGTGGAGAGGAAGAAGAAAGGTTGGAGGAGTGCTGCGTTTGACTTGTGGTAACGGAACGATCAGGTGAGCCCAGAGACGACATCCGAGATGAGAACGTTCGGACTCTGTACACTTCTGCTCACAAATCGAGATTACTTGCAAGGTGCCGCAGTAAGCTTCGCGGTCTGCACCCCGGCGTCGAGTACCCTCATGGCGGTAGTTCGGTAACACACGTGACCGCGTCATCGGCATCCGGGCATCCGTAGGGCTACAGGCATCCACGATACCAATGATAGCACAAACGATCAGAGCGGACTCTGATAGAGATTGCTGCTGATAGAGACAAGTACAGATACAGTCGGTGGGTAATCTTACACCGCGGCGCGTTTACTCTGGGGTTCGAGAGGATTCCATGGCTCAGGCAGAGATGGAGGGCTCGAGTGAGCCGGGGACGATTTCCACCCAGTAGCTGTGGGATGGGTGAGCTCGTGTGGAGGACGTGCAAGAGAAGGAAAGGGACGGACCCGTCGGGGTCGAGGATGAAGGCGATGTTCTTCATCTTGCCGTCGGTGAGCTTCTTCTGGAAGCGGACGCCGAGGGACTCGAAGCGGGCGCAGGCCTTTTCGATGTCGTCGACGGAGATGGCGATGTGGCCGAAGCCGCGGCCGGGGTCGGAGTTGCCCGAGGCGTAGCCGTGGAAGTTGGGGTCGGACTCGGTGCCGTGGTTGTGGGTGAGCTCGAGGATGCCCTCGCGGTTGAAGCGGTTTTCGGGGGTGGTGCCCTGGCCGTGGTCGTAGGCGAGGAAGTAGAGGGTGAAGGAGTCGAACTCGTTCTCTAGGGGACGCGGTCAGCAGAGGGGGTGGAGGAGAGGGGGATGGGAGGACAGACTGGTGACAAGATCCATGCCGAGAATCTGGGAAAGGGGTCATTCGTGCTGTGTGGAGTTGCAGAAGAAGACCGACCTCGGTGTAGAACTTGAGGGAGACCTGAGGGTCCTTGACACGAATCATGGTGTGGTTAAACTGGAGCGATGGTGAGCGCAGATGGCATTTGGGCGAATGAGGGGCGTACCTTGTAGCTAGCGGTCTCTGCGGTGCGCGGCATGGCGGGCGGGCGGTAGGTGGCGAAAAGACGAGGATGGAGTGAGATCTGGGAACGAGGAGGAGGCGGAGGGCGGGGGGAGATATATCTGAGCGATCTGCCGAGCATCAGAGCGCACTCGGCGTCCTTGATCGATGACGCGGGGGACGCGGTCGACGCGAAACGCGTGATCCACAACAGCCGCAAACAGACGCGATCGCGGCCTGTTGACTCCCGCTCTTCCCCTCCCTCTTGCTCACCGCCCTCTTGCTCCCCGCCCTCGTCGTGCCCCGCGACGGACGCGATGCCCCCCACACGATCCTCACAACATCCCGTCTACGTCTCCACCGACCTCGCCAACATCCCCTTCAGGTTTCGCCGCAAAAGCCTCTCTGAAGACGACCTCCCCAACCCAGACTATTATCTCGTCCCCCCTTCCCCGTCCCTCTCTCCATCCCGCTCTTACTCTCTGAGCTCCTCTCCCCCCTCCTCTCCCTCCGCTCTCAACTCCTCTCCTATTCGTCCTCATCTTGACACCGCCAACATTCACCCGCCCTCTAGTCCGACGCGCCCGCCCGCCTACCATGGGCACGGCTACGCATACACCTATCCTCGCGGCCTCTCCCATCGTGCTGCCTACGACTATGAGTTTCCATCTGCAGAGCCCAAGCCGCTTCCGCCGAACGCGCCATCGCCAGCATACGCTGCCATCCTCCCTCCTTCTGCCTCGTCCCCCCGCTCCAGCTTTTCCTCTACGTCCCTCTCAGACGCAAACGCGCCCGGTGCTTCGTTTCCTTTAGCCTCAGAAAATCGTGTAGTACTCGGTACGTGCTCTGCTCTTGCTCTTGACCCTGATCCTCCTATCTTCTACTCTCCCACTCCCTACCCACTTCACCTAGCCTCACGAGCGGGCGTGCAGACCATGGGTCTTCCCCTGGCCTGGACGCCCCTTCGTGCCTCTCGCCAGTCCATTTCCTCCCCCGTGGCCCCACTCTCCCTTCTCCGGTCACTTCCTCTCCCCCGTTTCGCACTCCTCTATCCGGGTATCCGATCCGATCAGCCCATGACCTCTCTTCCTCCTGCGACCTGCTGTCATTTGACGCGCTTGACTGTGAGCCGTGTCCGCCTTCCGTTTGGTGGACACAGAGTTTCCTGCTCTGGCGTCCGAGCGGACGATATCAGACTCTAACTGTACTATCCGGACAGCGATCGGGGCGCTCAGTATACGGTGCAGCCGTAAGCTTCAGCAAACGGCGCGCTCGAGGGGATCCTGCGCGCGCGTCTTGATGGGCCGTGAATGATGCCCACCGCGCCATGACGCGATGTCAGTTTCGAACTTTTCCTCACCATCGCTTGATTGGATCGTCTCTCCCTTGGCGGTGCGGCATCTGTTCTCGCTTCCCGTCGTAGCTCTTCCTCCCGTGTCTCGGCGGCTTTGCGGACGCCGCCCCATTACTCTTCAAGGCCGTTCAGCGCGCCTTCGCCTTTCCCCCCTTCCGTTCCCTCCGTCTTGTCTTATCAGCCTTGCTCCAGAGCAATACCCACGTTACTGCGATACTGATCGGCGCATACATGTTCCTGTACTACCCTCATCCAGATGACGATGATGACGATATCGAAGACTACGGCGGATTCTCGCTCGACCTCGACGACATCCTGAGTCTCCCAGGATCGTCACCCTCTCGCAGGATCTCGTTCACCACCTCGTCTGAGCGCGACCGTCCATTCGTTCGCCCTCCAGTCAAGCCCCGCGCGCGTCCTCCGCCAAAGGATGTGGACACGCTACTCCCTTTTCCTGCCACATCCGTCTCTGCTCTTCCAGCAGAACCTCGCGTCGCGGAGCCTCGGTGCGATAGCACCCGCACCTCAGCGGCTCCGGCGGATCTACCTCCCCCCATCCGTGCGCGCTCGGCCTCACGACGTTCGACGTCTCTCCTTCTCCCGCCCCCGACTCCGGACACTCGTGCGAACGACAGCGCTGTGCTCGACGACCATCTCCCGCCCTCCTCGCCCATCTCCACGCCCGCATCGTCATCCTCGCTGTCCTCCCCCTTGCGCCCGTCCGATCACACGGCCACGACACGTGAACAGCACCTAGATTCAGACTTGACGCTCCCGCCGTCGTCCCCCATCCCCATTACCGCTCCGTCCACGCCCGCGTGCCACGAGCATGTTGAGAGGGTGGACGAGATGGTCCTTGACCTGGACTCGGTCGCGAGCCCGCCCTCGCCCACTCTGGACGCGCTCCGGATCACGTCGCGAGTCTCGGTGCGCGCGCTGCTCAACCCTGCGCCTACGTCTGCTCCCCGGAATTCGCAATTTGCTGCCACCGCTGTGGTGGAATCAGCTGATAATGGACTCCCTCAACTGGAGCTGCCGAAGGGGGGCGCGAAGGTCGAAGTTGCTTCCGAGATTGAGGCTCAGGTCGCGGTGGAAGACGTTGATGTTGAGATTGTGACAGACGGCGATGTCACCCCGCTCGTGCTCCCCGAGCCCGAAGCCGTCATGGATGCGCAGGAGGCGACCGAAGAAACGGAAGTGGGAGTTGAAGTCGTGATAGAAATGGCGCCCTTGGAGTCCGTGACTGAGGAGGAGGTCGAGGTTCAATCAGCAGCTCACCAGGTGCGTCATGCGATTGACGTCTCGCTCTTCTGGTCTTGTCCTCATGATCTCATGGTCCGCTTCTCTGTCCCCTCCGTACCCTCGCTGGACGCCTGCCTAGATTGCTGTACGCGAACCTTCCCCCGCGTTCGCGTGCGCGGCCGTACCGTTCCCGGCGTCAGCCTCGATGGTGGCCGTCGCCGCCACTACTGCAACATCACGCGTGCCTTCCCGTGCTCCCTCAGTAGCCCCTTCGGCCTCGCGTGCACGCACGCCATCATTCGTACAAGGTCAGGAGATCCCATCATCTCCGCTCTCACCCACGCCTTCGTCTATCGCGGACGGCGATGCCGTTTTTGACCTCATGGACGTCGATCTTGATGCCGAATCCTCCGCGCTTGTTGCCGGCCCGAGCAGGAGCAGCCACAGTAGTCGCGCGGCCTCCCCGGTCAAGGCGAAGGCGAAGAGACACGCTGTCGCTGAGCCCCCGCGGAAGAAGGCGAGGCGCGATAACGACGCAGACATTTCCGGCGCCAGAACGAAGCCCAAGCATAAGATCAAGCGGTCGCGCACGCCCACTTTCACGGACAGCGAAAGCGAGGCGGAGGTGCAGGTGCAGAAAGCGGTCATGAACGTGCCGAAGAGAATCGACGCGAAGCGTCTGTCCCCTGAGCCGTATCCTCATCTCGCGAAGGCCGCGCACAAAAAGCGCCCTCGCGCCATCCTCTCCGACGATGAGACCGACTTGGACGCGTCGCCCGCAGCTCCTCCCCCGGCACCCAAGAAGGACGGAGAGCGTGAGCGGAAGAAGGACAAGCCGAAGAAGCCCCGCGCGAAGGGCTCGGCCCCCGACCCCGAGCTCGAGAACGAGCCACTGCACGCGTCCATGTCGGCCGCGAAGCCGAAGGCAGCCAAGTCTTCGTCTGCCCCGAAGAGCGCCACGAACATCGCGCGCCCGGAGCTCCCTTCCGCTCCCGTCGCACCTGCAGCGGCCAAGCCGCGAGAAGCAGCACCCCACAAGGCGAAGCCCTTCACGTCCACAGCGGCAGCTGGGAAGTCCAGAGCCTCGCGCGCTCACGACGACGACGCGGAATCCTTGGTAAATGCATACGAGCTCCCGCTCCCCGCGCCCGAGCTCGAAGGGATGCTCGTCGAGACCCTCGCGACTGCTCGCGCGTCCTCGCTCGCCACTTCTGCCCTCTACGGCGCGCTCATGGCGGCCCGCCCCGCCCTGCGCGACATGGCGCTGCCGACGCTGAAAGGCGCCGTCGTCGCCGACGAAGACGATCAGGAGAAGGGCAGAGATGCGACGGGCAGAGGCCGGGGCGCAAAAGCGGACGCGGCGAGCCGGCGCGCCTGGGTGCCCGCGATCGAGGCGATCCTCGAGGCGGGCTGGCGGCGGTGCGGGGTGTTCGGGAAGGTCGTCAACAGCGGCACCGTACGTCCTCATGCTTCCCATTGCAATGTTGTCGTCCCTGAATGCTGATGATCGCGTGCACGCAGGACCTGGCGAACCACTCGCTGTCGCTCGAGGCGCGCTGGTTCTACGACCCAGACCGGGACGCGGACGCGGACCGGGCGACGCTCGTGCGGAGCATGATGCGCCGCCCGGGCAAGCGGAGCGAGACGAAGAAGGCGAAGCAGTACTACTGGCGGCCGCTCCCCAAGATCTCCCGCTGGGACGCCGAGGACGAGCTCTGAGCGGGCGCCCTGTGCGCGGGACTTGTGTAAGTTATGATGCTAAGTGAACGTCTTGACCCTGGTCTTGTACATAGGTAATACATATGTGCGTATGTGTGCATGTGCGTGTGCGCGCGCGCCTGCCCGCGCGTTGACGTTTGTGGCTCCATATGTCGTTTGTTGTGTCTTGTTCGATTTGTGTGGCGTTGGCGCGTTCGATCTGTCGCTTGTCGTGTGCATACATGTAGACTCGTTGACGCTGTCCATGGTTACGACCTCCACTTTATCATGCACAGCTACTATTGTTTTCCTCGAGCTCGATGAACGCTTTCTTCGTCGATACGTACGCATGTAATACGGTATTTCTGCCTAAACATCGAATACTATCCAAACATTTGCAACTCTCCTGGCCTTGTGCGCTGCGCTTATACCTTCGAGGTTGGTCAACTCAGGTGTAGGGATAGAATGCACCGGCGCGTGATGGTCGAACCCCGTCCCGGTTCGAAAATATGGCAAATAATCCTTCCTTATCCATACAATACATACTATCCTACAGAGGACAACGTCCGAGGTACGAACAGAGAGTACGTACACCCAGGCAGATACGTACGCGCACGAGGAAAGCAGCAACGACAACAGAGCGACGACCAGGAGTACACAATATAGGCGGTATATAATCACGATCCCAAGAATCCAGTTCCACCACGGCGATCCACGGGGAGCGACCAACTATGCGAGGCCGATCTTTGTCAGGTGCGAGCGCATGATCGCTTCGCCGACTGTGCGATGCGGGACGACGATGCAAGTCAGCGACTGCGCACTCGTACGAGAAGCACAACATGAGGGAAGCGTGGCGAAGGGGTGGAGCGAGAGTGTGAGGGATCAGCGGAGGGGAGGCCGACATGTGTGGCGGCGGGAGAGGGAGGCCAAATATGGGGTTGAGGGAGACGCACCGTTGATGATGATCGACTGCGTCGCCTTGATGTCCTGTCATCACCGAGGTGTCGCAAGGTCAGCGTGAGGACATACGAGTTGTGGGCGAGAACAGGTAGATTGTCGTGGGTTCGTCAACCTCCACGCAGGAGCGCGCGGATGGCGCGGGAAGGGTGTGAGCATACAAGACAGAAGGGAAGTATACGCACAAGCATGGACGTGAAGTGCTGCGGAGAGAGATGCCTCGTCAGTAACTGCCGTACGATCGATGCCTCGCAGAAACCATAAGCGGTAGGAAGAAAGGGGTTGCCGGATGCGAACGATGGGTGAACACCGAGGGAAGATATGGTAGAAGATGGTTAGAGTAGATGCCGCAGTGGGAGCGGGTTTCGGAAGGAGGCAGCGGAATGATAGGAGGCGTACCAAGTAGAGCGGTCTGTGCGAGACGTCCTTGCGCTTGTGGACCTGGATGAAATGGGCGCGGAAGTATTCGGAGACCTCTTCAAACTCGTTTGGCCTGTCGCCGTATGACGAGATGCTGCGTCCGAGGGGAGAGCGGGCGGGGGAGAATGTGAAGAGTCGAGAAGTCCATACGAGGCGCCGGGAACGCCCAGCAAGCGAGAGCAACAAAGGAGGCACGTTCGGGAGTGGATGACGTCCAGGAACGGGGGTGGGCAGATAGAGGTGGTGTGGGAGGGATCGGCCGCAGCAGGAACACGGAGGTGGAGGGGGAGAGAATGAGGATGTTTAGTACGCCAAGAATACCGGATGGCATGGACTGTGAGAGCGCGGCTTACTATTTGCGAACTTTGATGCCGGATTCCAGCTTTTGTCTTAGGAGATCGGTCTGGGGAGGGAGGATTAGTCCTGGGGCGGCACGGAACAGGCGGTGGTCGCAATGAGGGACAGACCTTGTTGAGCATGAGGACGAGGGCAGCGTTTGACAGGAGCTTGTTTGAGCATATGGTGGTGAACAGCTGGAGCGAGTCGTCTATTCGGTTCGTCTTTGGGTCTTCCTCCAGGTACTATAGACCGGGAGTCGCGCCGATGCGGGTGGAGTAGTATCCAGGGACAGCGTACGAGCGCGGTGGGTGGAGGGGGGCAAGGATGGTTACCGGCGAAGGAAGGATAACCGGGCGAGGGGACGTGGAAGTCAATCAAATCGAGTGAGAAAGCTGGCTGGAGGGCGTACCTGGTCAAAGGCGCTGATGGGGGCCAGGAAAATAATCGCAGTCGCTGGATGGGGACATGGGTCAGTAATCGAACGGCAGAGCGAGCGGCAGGGCTGGTCCAAGCTTCACGATGCCGGTCGGCCACAGAGAGCGCGTAGGGCCGGCGGACACGGAACAACTGCCAATCCAAGGAAGCATCCAAGGAAGCCAGGCACGCATCGCACGCACACGCCGGAAAAGAGAAGCAGCCAACTCACCGTCGTCAAAGAACGGCACCCACGCGTGTCTCTGCTCCCCAAATCTCCGTCAGCACAGCTCGTGCGCACTCGGTGAGACACTTGCCTGTCCTCGCTGCAGACAAGCCCGCGATCAGCAGACGATGACACCGGCCAAGCAAGCACGCACCGCCCCGCCCACGTCGTACAGCAGCCAATTGTAATTCGTCCCGCCCAGGTTGATGTCGAACGCGTGTTCCGTCACCCCGATCGTCTGCAGGCGGACGTGCAGGATATCCTCTGTCACAGTCTCCGTTCAGTGATCCACTCTACTGCCCTTCTGACCAAGAATGGAATACCATTTGACGGCATGTAGTCTGCTTGAGCGATACGTCGGATGTTGGCAAGGAAACTGTCCGTGATCCAGTCAGTACACGTCTCCTCCGGTCTCCTCGGCGGAAGCATGCCACCCCCGACGCGCCGCAACCATTGTGGGAATCCGACGCCCAGAATACTCCCCCGCACAGGCACCGCAGCGAGAGTGCCGTAGCGGACACTCGTCGGCCGGACGTGCTCGAGAGCAGTACCAGCGTGCGAGGAGGCGAGAGCAGTAGCAGCGTTCAAGCAGACGAGAGCAGTACCAGCGTTCAAGCAGACGAGAGCAAACAGAACGATTCACTCACAACGCCGCATACTCCTCCAGCTTCAGCTTGTTCCCCTTCAGCAGACTCTGCACCCCCGGATGCCACCACAGCATCTCCACCTCGTCCATCGACGCCGCCAGCGTCTTCGCCACGATGTTCGTCACCGCCCACTGCGCCTGCTTGCCCCCACCGCCCGCCTGCGTAAAGTTCTCCGCCAGCGGCCACGACCGGTTCGCCGACGTCAGCGCCTGCCACCCCGACCGCACGTACACCCCCGTCTTGCCCCCCGCGACGTGCACGCCCCCAGACAGCTCCGACGCCAGCGCGTCCTCCGACGCCACCAGCGGCAGCAGCTTGTTCCGCAGCAGCCCCAGCTCCGGGAACCACGCCGGGTTCGCCGCCCGCGAGTGCGTCGACGACCCGCTCCCGCTCCCCCCGCTCCCCGTGCCCGTCCCCGACGTCGAGGGCAGCAGCCCCGGCGACACCGACAGCGGGTCCCCGGAGCCGGACGCGCCGAGCCCGTACTCCCAGTCGAGCTCCTCGAGGATCATCCGGATCGCCTTGAGGATGTTGAAGTACACGATCGGCCGCCACGAGGCGCGCTCGCGGTCGAGGGTCGAGGACGAGTAGTACAGCTGGAACTGCTTCTGCAGCGTCGACTTTCCGGACTCGGCTTGCCCGAGCAGCATCACTGTGCGCGGATGGACGTCGCATGAGCGGCTCTGCCCGGAGGGTGAAAAAACGGGGACTCGCCTTTGACGTCCTTGGCCTTCCGCCTTCTCATCGCCTCGCGTTCGCGCTGGGACGGCCGGTAGGCTGTCAGCGGGGATGGACGCGCGGTAGAGACGGATACGTACTCTGAGCTCCTCGTCAATGGCATTGCTGATGCGGAGCGCCTCCTCCTCCTCTGCGGGGCTGCGGCGTTGGCGCATCGTGGTTGTGGTCGAGTTGCTGCTGTCCGTGGAGCAAAATGCCGGTGGTAGTCGTGACCGGTCGCGCTCTACAGGCGGCAAAGGTATGGCAGGGAAGAAGAGAGGGCTGCCAGGGGACAGAGAGCGCGGCGAGGGACGGAGCGACGGAGAGAGAGGACGGAAAGAGGAAGGAAGAGAGGAAGGGGCGGAGGATAAGGTGTATCGCGCGTCCCACGGAGCGCATTTCATTTTGATGGAGAAGAGGAGGCCATCATTGTCTGATACTCACTCCCGGTCCTCTTTCCCCTTTCGCCCTTGGCCGTCCGCACGCCCGGGAACCGCTCCTCGTCCGGCGTTCAGCAGAGGCACAGCGATAACCGAATCGGCGGCGGCCGCGCTTCCCGGGAACGGGACGTCTACGTGCTGTGTATCTATGCCGCGCGCGGGTGCGCGGGGCGACACAGAGCGAAACCCAGACGACAGCATTAATTCTTGTCAGCGAACGATGACATGCACTCTCGCACACTGACTGATCTCTCGCGGACGCACAAGCACGCACGCGCCGTGCCCCCGCCCAGTTAGCCGAGCGCCACAAAGATCTCACAGGCGTCTATCCACCTTCGCGTGGCCGCACGTAGGCGCCGTCGGATGCTAATCCCGCCCGAACTTAAGTCGCTGCTCATCCGCCTCCGCCGGTCACACCACACAGCGTTGACCTCTCCTCGACGCCCGGCTTCGCGTCGAATGAGTACACAAGTGGCGCTCGCGAGACGCAGCTACGTGCTGTGCTCGCGTAGCGTAGTACCCCATCGTCCGAGGTCTCCGGTGCGGTCTCTCCTTCTCATGCCATAAACAATGTCACTTTGCCCCTGTGATCAGCCGTCGCTCGCCCAAACCCGAACGGTGCATAACAAGCTGCACGGGCAATCCGGTGCTTGTAGGCAGACGGTCCCTGAATCTTCGCTGTGCTCTGATACACGTATACGCTCCACAGACCCGCAAGCTCAGCTACCACTCACCTAGCTACGCAACCGCGCCATCCCGCCATCGCAACATCCCCTCTCGCCAAGAATCCACGAGTTCGGAACACGGACTCTCGCTGCCCGTGTAGACGAAATGAATCTTCAGATGCGAGATGCGAAAGCCGAAGCCCGAACACCGAACAGAGCGACTAACGTTAACGGCCCCATACGGGCAACAGAACGTCGACGTCAGAATCGAGCGATAGACATCATCCCCCCTCACTATCCAAGAGCCCCATCGCTCCCAAATGGCAAACCGATCCGGTGCGCATCTCCCTGACCATGCGCCCCCACCCTTCTTTTCTTGCCCAACCTGGCGTCCTGGGCCTTGGCCGCGGGCGACAAGCGGCATGCCGCAGAACGCACTGGGAATCTATCAGCCCGCCGGAAGATGGGGGCTTGACGACATCGAATCGATGGACGGTGCGTGGTCAGCCCCAGCGTGACCTCTCCCATATCACCGCGCTCGCGCGGAGAACCCAGGCTGATGTCCGTGCAGATGACCAGCGGTCTCCAGACCGGAAAGCAGGCGTCCGTGCTCGCTTTGACACGGTGGCACAGCAGAGACAGTCGCTCGAGCTGATGGTGGACGTCTATTGGCCAGGCTATAGTTGGTCATGTCAGACTGCGAAAGCGATGCGACATCGGAGGCTCCCACAAGGCACCCTGTCTCCTAAATGCACAGGACAGGTGGTAAGTAGGTGCTGTCGTTGAAAGCATGCTCGTTCACGTATACAGCTAGAACTGCAATTGCTTCCGCTCCCGAGAACGGCCCTCACAGCTTTTGTGCAGCTCCATTCCGGGATTGGCGGCGCGGGGTGCACACCGCCCCACCTTCGTAGCTTGACGCCTCCACTGTATATTCACACCTACGCCTCTGTCCTTGACTCCATCATGCGCAATTCATCAGGTTCTTCCCCGATCCCACGGCAGTCAAGCAATGGAAGCGCGACACTCGCCTTGTTCTCTTCCATATCGCATTTGTCAAATGGTGGCATGCGACTAGGAAGAAGACATGACCGCATCGACATTGACAGGCATGTGCGTCATCAGTTTCTCTCTGACCGGAAGCCAAATATCGGGATTCATTCTCGTGTTCTGCCATCGTCCATCTTACGGCGCGCCCCACCCAATCTCCCTATAAGAAGGCCTCGAGTCTCCACGCGAACGCGAGCGAAGCTTGATCTTCGCTCTCGCTACTCGTCATCCGGGCTTACTCGCACGACCTTGCGCGGGCGGCGAAGGGCGGAGGGCCCGGGGACGGGTGTGATGAATTTAATCAAGATGTCGACGCAGCACTTCCAGCTCGTCATTCACGACCATGCTGGACGAGTCGGCCCTAACAGCTTGCGGTCCCCAATAGAAAATCTTCTGCGCTGCGGCGCCCATGGGCGACTCGGCCTGGAAGGCACACAGGTGTCCGACCCTTGTCGGATGTGATAAGCCCTGTGGTCGACTATCCGGTATTCGGGATGTCTGGTTTGTTGGGATAATATGGACACGAATGTCGCGAGAGCTGCATCGGAAAATTTCCCATAGTCGCCGCTCAGAGCCTCGCTCGGCGATTTCCAGACTTCTCCGATCGGACGTGGCGCATCGAAAAAGCAAAGAAAACAGCCAATGTTGTCAGCCAGCGTAGCAGGTTCCGTGCCTAGTGATGCACGACTTGGTTCGATGTCCAGCGGGGTGGCCCTCGCGCTTCAGGTCAAAAACCCGACTTGATCTAGCATTAAGGGACGTTCAGGAATAGGTTTGTCGACCCTCATCCACATCGCCAGTGGTGCGGGGCAATACGGTATAGATTGCGATACCGCTTTCACTTGCTGTTGGCGAACTATGGTGCCAATCCGACGCCGTCCGGTTTAAACTACGTACCTGGTGTTGGTGCCAGTCTAAACTTTGAAGCTCTGATTGACGTCTGCACAAATCACCCAACGTTTGCACCACTAACCTACAACCTTGAACTTGCTAGTCACCGGGACGGGGGCGCGAAGATCACGAAGGGCAGACAGAAGCAACATCAATGAGGTCGTATCAGAGCCGGGACGACTCAGGTTCTCAAACACCACTAGCAAAACACCCGACGGACGCCCCTTCAAAGCTCCATGGCCGGCATGAACGTATCTACTACGAGAGATAGTCAGCTGAGTCATCAGGTCCTGAACCTTCCCGGAGCTGGCTTCAACGGCTTCGACTGAGATGTCCTAGGTCTCTAGACTCTGCCGGCCCCGTACCCTATGCCTCGAAGCCGGAGCCTCTCGCTGACTCCCAGCTTATCGATGTCGGGTCTTGTAAACCTCGACGTCTAGGACGTAATGCCGCTTCCATCTCGCAGGACCGTCGACCACGAGGACGGCCATGAGCGACCTCAAACTCACCCCGACGATCCACTGCGTCCTAAAGACCGATCGCCATGTCGGTGAATGCGTATACAGACGACGGTGTGGGTGGAGATACTAATCTCGATGAGAGCGAGCGGCAGGGAGCGTCAAAGTGAACCCACAGGTCCCCGCGGACGATTGCGTCCTGCGTTAGCCGAGGTTTGAGCTGCCACAGTCGAAGCAAGGAGTGACCGAGGTTCGAGGAGGCCGTGTCCTCTGATAGACGGGATTTGCATCTGGGCGAGTGTCGCTGATACTGGTCCTTTTGGTTGCCACCTCCTTGTCATATAAAGATGCAGATAAAGCGTACATTGACGTCGCGGTAGTCATCTATGGATCCTGGACGGTCACAAGACGTTGCAGTCGTCTATGATCCCGGGACTCACCCCTAGACCCGCGAACAAATCAGTTGACACCGTACAGATGCCGATCGGTCGCCGACGTCGCCTCAAGAGAGAGAAGAGCAAATTGCGAACCGACACGACACAGTAATATCGCAGCGGTGATGTACGTGTCGGTCCCTCCATCCTGCTGGTGAATGTACGTAATCTTGGGGATGTCGATGCGTATCAGAGGAGCGGGAGTATAAGACACTGGGGTCTCGGAGCCACTTCGATGGCTGACAGAGCCACGAATACTCAAACCGATCGGCACACGGGGCAAAAGAACCCTTCTCGATATCGATAGATGGGGCAGGGGAATGTCCAGTAGAGGAAGCAGTCGGGCTGATGTGAGGCACTGGCAACGGCAGTCGGATGAAGCTTCCCAGAAGGTTGTCTGATCGTCTGTCTGTCTGAGGATTGCATCTTGCAAGCGAAAGAAAGCTCGGAATCCCTTCCCATAAATGGGGGACAGGTTGACGTCGAAGCAGAGCAAGCGTGATCGTCCAATTGCGCGGCGTTTGGCCGCCCAAAACATGCGTTGGGCGACGCTCCTGTCGGTTAGGGTGGCGATTCTCCGGACGAATTCAATGTAATTGGCGGTGAAATTGAATACACGTGAGCTAGTGAGTGGTTCATGCCCCAGAAATGGCACGAAATGGCACGAGTTTTGAACGAAACCACATTCTGCGGGGCGAGAAGCTCTTGGAGTGTCCACCCTCGCGTAAATTACCACTTACACCACCTCAGCGCTGATGATCGCTCGCAAAGGTCTTGGGAATGTGGGACGTCGTATTTGGATGCGAAGCATATCTCGACACCCTCAAATGAGCATCGAATTCAGAAGTTGTGGCGGGTCGGCGCTACTTGCCTGGTCGATACCGGGCAGGTGTCTGATCCATACCCATACTCACACATACTCGCCAGCAATCCGGCCGCAGTTGCGAACTTTGCATGTGACATGAGGAAGTAGGCCTGTAGGCGAGGAGTGTAGCTTATCTCGGAGAGCTCGTAGGCCTTGGAACGAAAGCTCATATTGCTGGCAGACATGAGAGACGATAACATTGATGAGGAGAATGTCTGAGTCATACGGTTGTTGGACCATAGCCTGAGAAGCTCGCCCGTCATATCATGCAACGACCACATAATATGATGAGCTCCGTGTGGATCAGGCATTATCGCGATGGCATACCCCTGTTCGTGTTCGCGGCTGAGCGCCCTGTGAAGCTTCTGAGGTCCTCTTGACGAGATTCCTGCGGAAATTTAAGTGCCAGTCGCAATAACTAGGCACGTATTAGGTGGGTGTGTAGATACTCACCGGTTGGCCGGTTGGTCACCTCTCAGGGGAATGGCTGCAGGCTCGGTCGCGATGAGGACCCATACCAAGGTGGTTCTATAGATGAAGCTTGGACGGTACCTCCTCAACATATGCATATGACAACGTGGAATAGACCTGCTGAACAGTGAGTGATCTGATAGGACGGAGCGCACAAACTGAAACGTGAAGGTGAGAATGAATCTTTTTTGATGCCTACTAACGAGCGTCGACCGTTGTAAAGCTGTAAGTATGTCATGGGCATGAACTTAAGCTACTAAGTGCGAAAAGTGCTGTGAGGTGACTGCATCGGCTGGGATTGTATTGTCGACGTCAGCAGCCCGACGCGACGTATATCGCGGTCGCTAAGTTGCTGGTACGTCAACTGAGGTATGGTCCCTGCATCAGACATGACTAGGAAGAGCGAGGATTTGCATGTCAACGTACAGCTTCGAGAGTCTGTTGAGTCACCGTGCCAGTCAGCCGCGTCGAAGTGGACGTTGGAGGCCGAGAGCTAAAGGCTGTGCAGGGTCCCGGATAAGGCAGGTGAGGCGTGGGAGCCACGTGGATATCGGGGCACAAGGGGAGGCGGAGTGGAGCCTCGGTTCGTACCTACCTTCAGTCAGCTTCCTCCACAGTCGCATACCGTAAAGTCTTCCTATACATCCCCCAGCCCGACTCTCGTTCACCCTTCTCTCCAGACCACCCCAGTTCATTCACACAAGCTTTCAACTATATGCGTTCTGGCGCGCTTTCTGCGCTCGCTGTTCTTGGCGCAGGCATCGGTGAGTTTACCCTCTTCTTGGTCTAAGCAATGTTTGTCTCATTACATCCTTATGCATACCCTCCTGCACACTCGAATTATACCATATACGACATGCTCACATGCTTACTGGCACACACGAAAACTCGCATCCTCAGCCGCTTCCGCGAGTCCTATCAGGGTCGTCGTGACCGAAGTCTCGTCCGTGCGACACGGTTATGCTGCCGCAGACCCCAATAGCCCCTTCTCCCCTCTCCCCCCTCCCGTAGACAACCTCTTTGCGGCGTCAGCCTTTGCCCAACCTATTGTTGCCGCTCAAGATGCCGAAATAGTGAGGCCGCAGTACGTCCATGGTAATGGGCGCCACTTCTGCCAGTCCATGCGTACCAAGGCCTTGGACGCATCCAACGTGCTCCGTCAGTGGCTCGGTCTTGAGCCCATCCAAATCCAACACATCCGCGTCCACCCCCTTCCGCACCACATGGAAGGCACTCAGATGCACGGGATGCAGTTGAAGGATGGCAAGAATACACACGACTTGCCCATCATGCCCTTCATCGGCACGCCTGTCAAGCCCGCCTTTGCTGAAGATGAGGGCGCGCTCGAGCATCACCGCGGCAGACAGGGCCGCCCCATGTGGGTTCACCACTATGGACATCACCATCTCCGTGGCTCTTTCCTCCGTCGCGTCCACCACGCCCTCATGGCCCTCGGTCCCTGGGAGGGTCGCGCCGTTGCCTTCGTCCTTGGTACGTCTCTATCTCTACCTTCTGCATCATCTACTGTCCTTCTCCCATCCCCAACTTGCCATTGCCATCGCAATCTCCGTATTTTTGGTCATTGCCTCGGATCCTGTGCTTGTGCTGACCAGTGTTTGGCGCTGTGCAAAATTAGGTTGCGGCATTGGAGTGTTGCTGCGCATGGTCTGGGTGATGGTTCTCGTCACCGCCCGTGCCTTCCGTGGCTCGCGCGATGAAGAGACCGAGTACGAGGTCGTCTTCGACGAGGCCGAGATGCTCGTCCCACCTCCTCAGTACACCATCTTTGAGGGCTCTGAGGTCATCCCCGTGGACGAGAAGTCCAACAAGGAAGCCACTGCCTAGATGCCACCTACCGCAAATCAACTGCCCACTCCCCCTCGAAGTGTACAATACGACCTTTAGGACCCAGACAGGTCATCACCTACTTTCTGATCAGCACAGGAGCACGGTTTCAGGATCTGATCGCGATCCTCTGACCGGTCGCCCTAGGAAGTCCTGAAGATTGGACTCGGACAGTTTCTTGTTGTTATAGGCATGTGTTCTCTTCCTACCCCTCTGTCCTCCACCTTCCCCATGACCCCACTCTACCTACTTCCCTCCTAGCTCCTTCGATCCGTACTTTTTACAAACCCAATACAAACACCATATTGCCTCGTATATCCCGTGATCCCGCGTTGCCCCCAACCTTCATGTACTCAGATCCCGTTACGACTCACGACCGAATCTCTCGTTCCTTTCTCGTGCTTTAGTGTCTTACGTCTGCGTCAGCTCGCACCATGATCACACCCACGATCCCAGAAATCGGACCGACAAGCGGCTCGAGCTGCCTATCGGAACGACCCGTGTGGTGTACGGCGCACTCAGAGAACTAGAGTGTTTTCTTGGACGTGTAATAGTAGTCGTTGTCGAATTGTGTGAATCAAGTGTATGATGCTATAGAGCCTATGAGAGTGCCGATGGCGTTGCCTGCTCAGTGAGGTCTAACCATGAATTGGATGATCGCCCTCCGGTTTGTGTTGACAGTCTACATCACCACTGTATCGAAACATAGTTGGACCTATGGGCTTGTTCCACGGAACACTTATCCGCACCTACTCCCGTATCAGGGGGGATCGAACTATCGCTATCGCGTCCTGATGCATCCTACAACATATAGCACTGTGCACCAACGCTACGCCGTACCGGTAACATTGAAATAAACGGGGTTGTTTCCGTACGAAGCCTACGGCATGAGACGGCTTAAAAATAGGAGTTGTATCTATATTGGTCCCAGTTCAATTTCAACAGAATAATACATTGCACACGATATGGTAAAAAGTGCGAGACAGCATTGAGGCAACGTGAACAGAGAGAGATGGCGTTACATTGTGATTCATGACGATGACCTGGATGTAGGAAGGACAGAACGTGTAGGAACGAGGTGGGGGGTTGTAGTATACAATGCGACACGTTGCGACGGGAAGTGCGGAACACAGATCATAGGCAGATGGCGATAAGGACGGGGCGAGGACATGGACAGTGACAACGTAGGGACGGCGAGCGTAGCACAGAGGAAGCCCCCGACAACACGACGAGGTAAAGTCTAGTCCGATATGAAGGGGGGGGGGCGATGCGGTACGAGAGCAGTGGAAGCTCACTCAAAGCCCATCTACGGTAGCATTCCACGACCACCGCCCATCTAGATAACCCTTGGCGGTGTCCTCTAGCATGATCTCATTCCGCTTCTGCACATAGACCTATAGAACATCATGTTAAGCATCACATGTCCCCGTCACAATGGAGTACAGGTCTCACCGTCTTGTCGGTAACCTTCTGTCGGAGAGCCATGATCGTCTCCGGGTCAATCGGAGCTTCAATGAGCTCTGAAAGCTCCTCGACTGCTCTCTCCAGATCGCTACGATGAAAATCAGATATTTGGAATGCGCGGTCTCAAGATATCCGAACACATACCGTTGATTATCCTCGAAAAGCTCCTTCTCGTTGCCCAACGAGAGGTAGTAAGCCATCGCATACGTCCACTTAAGGGTCATTCGGCACTTGAAGACAACATCGACAGCCTTCTTCATGAACTGAACCTGGATCCAAGTCAACTCCGAAGTGATCTGCATCTCCTCCATCTTCTTCTCTGTCTTAGCGTACAGCTCCATCGAGAGCTTTGCGGATTGCTCGTGATTCGCCCAGCGATTGTAGTACTGCACGATAATTCGGTAAATCTCCCGATGGAATAGCCCAGATAAAATACTTACGTGTAGGTATCGTTCTAGAGAGGCCCGGCTTCGCGCCTGGGCGTCACGCGCATCCACGCTCGCCTTCTCGTCGTATCGGTTGCAGGAGTACCACGACGTGCCGTGCTCAGACCAGGGACCTATAGGGACAGGTCGATGAGTCAGTGAGTCACGTCGACGCAACCCCGAACGAATGCTCACTACTCACCCATGCAGACCCAGCAAAACTCATACTTGCACTTCTTGCATGTCATGTGGTTGCACCCGCCGTTCTTCTCAATCGTGCTCTGACACTTGCTACACTCCTTGGTGTTGCTCTTGATCCAGTTTGCCGTCTCGCTGTCGTCTCTGCACTTCTGCAGCCACATCTTCGCGACGGCGCAGATGACCGGTCGGTGGTCGGCGTCGATGGGGCAGCCGAAGCAGAACACGTGCGTGGGTATCGAGCAAGCGACGATCGGGACCATCGTCAACAGCGAGGACTTCGTCGCCGCGGACACGCACGAAACGGTGTTTGTGCAGGACGGGTAGGGACAGAACTTGAGGTGGGGGATACACGACACGAACTGACGCACAAGCAGCTCCTGGTAGCGCTCCCAGGTCTCCATGTCATCCGTGAGGGCTTTCTTGACCAAGGGATCAAGCGCGACGATGTTGCAATCCTCGGCCATGCAGGTGATGGTGCACTCAGCCTCGGTGCGCACCTTGCTTGTGATGTACTCCTTCCAACACGATGAGCAGAACCTGTGCTCGCACATGAGCGCCATCGTCTCTGTCTGGCTGTCATCGAAGCAAATGGGGCAGACGAAAGACTGTACCCCAGCAGCAGGGGACGCTACGCGCTTAGTCGACTTCGACGTCTTCGAGGTCTCCGCGACGGAGCGCCGGGCCGTCCGAGTAGGCCCGGTAGACGACTGACGACTCGAAGACGCCTTCGGGGGTGGTGGGGTGGGTTCGCGAGGGGGGAGCTCCACGCCAGCCGCAACCGAAACCTGCGAGGCGTTGTCCATGTACTTGTCGGTAAGTTTCTCCTTGTTCCAGTTCATGTGGCGCAAGAGCTGCGCTGCGACAGCAGGCTGGGCACCCATACCGTATTTCAGTGAGTTATTAGAACGAATATCAAGTGTACACGCACCTCGACGCCAAAGATGCCGCTAATGTAGTTTACATCCGTAGCCATAATCTTCTCTACGTCGGGCTGACTCAGGGACATGTAGTCGACCTCGTATACCTTCCGCTCGCTCCCGCCCGGCACCTTGAAGTCGTCTCCAATACCATCTACCTCAATCTCGGAAGCGGACCCTGTGCATGGATCATGTGGGTCAGCGATCTGGTGGGACCGTGCGTGGGGTGTATGCGCACCATCGTCGTAGTCCTCGACCTCCATCTCGTCCTCCTCCTCTTCCTCCTCGTAGGAGTAGTTCTCATCGTCTGAAATCTCGTAGTCGGAGGACATGACAGGCACAAGGATCGGCTTGTGAGACAAGAAGGGAGTGGGGGTAGGCGGCAGAGTCAAGTAGCACGGATCCGGTGAGGCCTCGCGCAGTGCGTCTGACTGCCTCCACGGCGGAGTTTGAATCCCCCTTACTCAGCGCCGGGGAGGGCATCGTCGACGCACCCGCCGGCGGCGATCGGAATGCGGTCCTACCGACATGATAAAGCAGTGCGGCGCGGCAAAGAGACGACGAGAATGCACATGCGAAACAGATGTCCAACGTCCGAGCGAATCACCAAAGCCGATCTGGCAAGGTCAAGAACTGCCTTCAAAACACCGAACATCTTTGCTACACACAAGCAGAGGTGAAGCGGCAGAGCTCGAGTGCGAATGTCCCTTTGAAGGCGATTGTACAATACGCTGTTCTACTTACAACACATTATTTTCTCTAGTAGATACTGCCCGTCTCTCAATACAATGCAGGTGCACCAGTCTTCATGCGTACGTATGCTGTCGTCAATGAGGGTGAGGTCAAGAAGAGGGAGAATAAACGATCGTAAGCTAGTCTACGTCCATCTCCGAGGGACCCTCAGGCTTCGCCTGCTGCTGCTGTTCCTCGGTCTTCGGCGTCTGTGTGCCCTTCGGCGTGCCCTCGCCAGGCGTGCCGGCCGTCGGCTCGACCTTAGGCTTGGGCTTGGGCTTGGTAAGGATGGGCGTCGCGAAGTAGATGATCTCGTCCTTCTTCTTGAGCACCTCCGCAGCCGTGAAGACGGGGTCCGTGTTTTTCGGACGCTCGCTCTGGCGCACGGACTGGTCCTCGAGCCACTTCTGGATCGTTGCACACTTCTCGACGATCGCCTGCTTGTCCTTCTCCTCGATGTGCGCGAAACGCTCGTCGTTTGACGTCGCCTGATTCATGTAGTTGTTGATCGTCTCGCGCAGCTCGCTCGCCACCCGTGACCGCTGCTCGGCCTCCTTGTAGCGGTTGATGACGGGGTCGGCAAGAGCGTGGAGCGCATCGAGGCGCTGGACGTAGACAGACTTGGTGGCGTCCTCACCGTCCTCAGAATAGAGCCAGTCCTCGGCCTCCTGGAGCGCAGCAAGGATCTTCTCCTTCTCCTGAGACTGGACGTAGGGCGCGTAGCGCTCATCGAGACGACTCCGGGTGTCGTAGATGAACTCCTCCAGGGCGTTCTTACGTTCCTGCGAGTACGGGGATAGTCAGCGCGTGCGGATATATCACGAAGTATGGCTTCGCTAACCTCAGTATCGAAGACGAGTTTGTCCGCAGCGTGCATCTGCGCCTCGACCTCCCTGAACTGAGAGACGATGCTCGCGTCGAGGCCAGAGTGGCCCCAGACGAAGGGAACCTCGTGCTTCTTGACGATCTTCTTCTTCTTCGGCTGCGCTGCCTCGCCCTCAGCCCCATCGACCTGCATCGGCTGCTCCTCCCTCTCCTCAATCTCCTCGGTGTACGCCTGCTCGAATGAAAGGATACCGTTGGCGCTCAGACGGGTCTTGACCTTGACGATCTGATAGTCGCCGTTCGGCTGCGGCTGGACGTCCTTCGCCGTGAACTTCGCGATCCAGGGATTGATTCCACCCGGCAGCGTCGACGGGTCGGCGTAGCGTGCCTCGACTTCAAATGCGGATTTGCGGTAGAACGTGAGGATCTTGGTCGACGGGATGTTGTTGCCCTTGGGGAACACGGTGAGCTCCGTATCCTCGTCCTCGGGCTGCCTCTCCCAGGAGACCTTGATGGCGTACGGGTTGATATCCGTCATCGAAAACTCGCGGACACGGAAGGTAGGCGAGAGCATGGCGCATGCGAATGTCGCGCCGCGGGCTGCGGCCTCGTCCTGGTTGAGCGTCGTCGAGAGCGTCTTGCCGCCGAACCAGTTCTGGATCTTCTGGCGGACGGCTGGGATACGGGTGCAGCCACCGACGAGCTCAACGGTGTCAATCTGGTCGATTGTGAGGCCGGAGTCCGCGAGGGCAGCGTGAAGAGGCGCCTCCAAACGGCTGAGGACACCAGAGATGAGTTCCTCATATTCTTCGCGAGTGAGACGGCTGTGGACGTCGACGTCATTCATGATCGATTCGACGTTGAGGGGCGCCTCAGCGTTCGCGGAGAGAACCTTCTTGACGCGGTCGCAGCCAGCAGAGAGACGGAAGATAGCTTTGGGGTTCGAGAGAACATCAATTTTGTACTTCTCTTTAAACTCGGTAGCGAAGTGCTGGAGGAGGGCGTAGTCGATGTCGCGACCTCCGACATGAGGGTCGTACGCCGTGCTCTTCACGGTCAGCTGACCTTTGGAGAACGCGACGACGGCAACTGACATGGACGAGTGGCCGACGTCAACGAAGGTGACATGTCGAGGGTTCTCAGCTTCGGGCAAATCGGACTTGGTGATACCGTAGCCGAGCGCGACGGCAGTCGTGTCGTTGATGAGACGGAGGACGTTGAGACCAGCGATCTGGGCAGCGTCAAGGAGTGCCCTTCGCTGGATGTCGGTGTACCAGCCAGGGACTGTGATCACAACATCAGAAACGGCGGTCTTGAGCTCCTTCGCGGCAGTATCCCGGAGCTTGCCAAGATACATGGCAGTGAGTTGAGTAGCCGAGAAGACCTTTTGCTCGCCGAGGTAGTTCACCTGCCAGAGACGGGATGAGTATGCAGCTCAAAAGCATCATATAGGTATAGGATGACATCATCGATATCTCCGAGCAGAGCGACGCAAAAAGGTAGCGAAAGTAGCACTTCTTTGTACGCACGCAACGCTCTTTTGGTACCAGTACGCGCGCCGAGTAGCACGAATGAAACTTTCTTGTGAAAGAACACCCACCTGCGCACCGACGGTGCCATTCGCGTCGACGAGCTTCACATGGGTGTATTTTGACTCAACCTCCAAAATCTCAGGGTCTGTGATTGTCCTACCAAGCAGCCTCTTGAGGGAACCGACGGTGTTGCGGAAGTTGGAGATCTCAAGGGTCTTTGCGGGCTCGCCGATAGCCCGCTGCTTGGGTCCGAAAGAGACAATAGATCTGCAAGGCGTTGCATCAGCACGGGTTCTCACAAGTAAACCCTCTTAAACGTACGGAGTAGCACGGTTCGAAACCTCGTTGATGATGATGTCTATACCACGGTGTCTCGCAACACCAATCTACACAAAGTTGCGCGAGTCAGTATCGATCTAGACGCCACATTCGGGTACAAAGAGGCAAGTTACCTTGCTGGCGAGAGCACCGAAATCGATTCCAACGACGGACATAACGGACGGGGAAGTTGCAAGGGAGGGTAGTTCGTAGAGGTCGTAATCGAGCGTAAGGATGGGGCGAAGGGGATGTGCAGCAGCCAGGATTTGTGGCACTCTGATCGCCTTTACGCGCCCAAAATTTGGTATCCCGATCTGGTGTCACTGCCTCTTTCGGGCATTTTCTTGAATGTTCTCGGTTCTTCCAAAGCCTTCCACCACGCCCTTGCCTTACCTCATCGATAGCATCTCTTATGTATTTTTCTCTTGCATGCAAGCAGTCGAGGGCATGCTGGATCGACGACAGACAACGTTGCGTGTGCACTAGAGTGATCTTGCCGAATATGAAGCCCTTCGCAGGATCCGCGACGTTCAGAAAGGGGGCAGGGGATGTATGCCTAGTGCATAGTCAGATCTACTTGTACATCTACGTCTACGGGCTTTTTCATTAAATCTGGCCACTCGGCCCGACTGGTCCTGTAGTATTTGCAGCCGTCTCAATCGGCTTCATCGCAGGGAACAGCAACACCTCCTTGATGTCTGTCGTGAATGTCATGTCAGGATGAGCGTATGGAGCAGAAGCGGAGCAGGACGCACTAGTTGAGTCGGTCAGGAACATAACCAGACGGTCGATGCCAATACCCCATCCACCGGTGGGAGGAAGACCGTGCTCGAGCCTGCGAGGCGCGTCAGTAACGGAGCACGTGAACGCCACTGACAGCCGACTTACGCGTCGACGAAAGTCTCGTCGATGCCCTGTGCCTCGTCGTCGCCCTGCTCCTTCTGCCGCACTTGCTCCTCGAACCGCAACCGCTGCTCGAAGGGGTCGTTCAACTCGGTGTATGCGTTGCAGAATTCCTTCCCACACATGAAGCCCTCGAAACGCTCGCAGAGTCCCGGTCGTGACCGGTGGTACTTGGCGAGCGGCGACATCACCTGCGGGTGGCCGACAATGAACGCGGGGGAGATGCACAGAGGCTCGATGAATTCGCCGACGAGCTTGTCAAGCAAACGCGCATTCGTCCTGGGCTCGCTGCAATCGACGTTGTGCTATGGGACGAAAGTCAGAGCTAGGATCGGGAGCGTGTCATACTGTACGAGGAAGATGCACCTTTTGGCAAAGATCACGAAGGAATTTGTTGGCCTCGTCCGTGTGGAGGGTCTCACCCGGCGGGAACTTGACACCAAGCTTCTCCTCTAAGGTCTCGATCATGTCGTAGCGCTTCCAAGGGCGCGCGAACTCAAGCTGGTAGACCTTGTCGCTGCCCTTACCCTCCGGGTGGTATTCGAGCGTCGTCTTGCCGCCCGTGAGGTACTTGACCATACCTTCGACGAGAGCCTCCGTCAATTCCATGATGTCGTACATGTCTGCGTAAGCCATGTAGAACTCGCAGATAGTGAATTCGGGGTTGTGCGTCAAGTCGATGCCCTCATTGCGGAACACACGTCCGATCTCGTATACACGGTCAAGCCCGCCGACGACGAGCTGCTTGAGATACAGCTCGGGAGCGATCCGGAGGTAGAGATCCAAGTCGAGGTCGTTGTGATGCGTGATGAAGGGCTTCGCGGTCGCCCCTCCCGCGATCATGCTCGTCATGGGGGTTTCGACCTCGAGGAAACCGAGGTTGTCAAAGAAGCGGCGGATGTAGTTGATGATGCGGGAGCGGGTGAGGAAAATGCGGCGGGTGTCGTCGTTGAGGATGAGGTCAAGGTAGCGCTTGCGGTAGCGGGTCTCCTGGTCCTTCAAGCCGAAGTGAGAGGAGGGGAGCTGGTGAAGGTTGGGTGCGAGGAGGATCATCTGCGAGGGGGCGATGGACAGCTCGCCCTTCTTGGTGCGCGCGGGGGTACCAATCACACCGACGATATCTCCGCGGCGGAAGTGCTCATGGTTCGCGACAAAGTTGTCGGGATCCTCCGCGTCTCTGGTACGACGAGTCATGGGTGGGTTTCTAGGTCACATCACATATCGGAAGAACGTACTGCTTGTTCGCCATGATCTGAACCTTCACGCCCTCGCCATGGAGGTCGTAGAAGCGGAGATTTTGACCGGACGCGCGAACGTTGTGTATGCGGCCCGCGAGAGCTTCTGTAACGCCTTCCAGCTTCTTTCCAGCCTGGATTTTACCCTCGAGGCCGTACTTGTCGATGTAGTCGGTGATCGAGATGGAGACATGGAACTTGTGGGGGTAAGGGTTGGGAGACTGAGTCTCCTTTAGCTTAAGGATGTTTCTGGAGCGTATCTCAAAATATTGCTGTGGCTGATATGAGGACGGAGGTCGTGCAAGCATGGGGACGGTACGCACATTAGGACTGAGCTCCTCCTCGTCGACAGCACTGCTCTTCGCAGCAGCGGGCTTCGGCGGTGCCTGCGCGGCCTTCTCCGCTTTGCGAGCTTCAATCTCGCGGGCCTTCTGACGACGCTTCAACTCACTGACAACGTAGGGATCGATCAGAGTCGGTGGCTGGAAAAGGGCCTGTGAATACTCACGTCTTAGAAATCAACTCCCCGGTGACGGGATCCTTATGGGTTCCTGCGTTCTCGCTGGCCATTGTGCGCAGATGGTAGATGGGGACTGGATATGAGCGAGGAGGAAAGGGAGCCCTTTGGAGGAGTAGAGCAGAAGATCTGAAGCGAATCAGTCTCTGCATCTACTTTTTTGAGTTTATCCCAGCGCAATTTCGAGGCCATGTGAGTCACGGAACGCGTCGCGCGTTTACCCCCAGAAAGGCTGCTGCCTTATGTCATGCTCTCTCACGAATACACGTCCTGTCACGTCGGCTATTCGGGGCTGCGTCACGAGTGACTGCGATAAGTCGCCGGATAGGAACTTTGCGGCGCCCGGACGACGACTCGAAGCAGTCTCCCCTTCCCTCCGCTCGTCGTCCTCAGCGGTGTCTCCATCCTATCTCTCATCTCTTTCTTGATTACCAGTCTGAGTGCCCATTGTCCTCAGCAAAAGCAGTGCGCAGCGCAGAGCCTGCGCATACTCGCATCGGACATCATCTTATCGCTCGCTTGCAGCCCGGGACCAAATATTTTGTGGACCCACACATGGCGACAAGACAAAACAAGAAGCGCAAGGGTCGAGGCAATGCTCCTCCCCGCGAACGCACCGTCACCACCCTTACAGACGGACCAGACGGCCCCTTCCTTCCTCCTCCTCCAGTCGTCTCTATGACTGTAGTGGACGACCATTCTCTGTCTCCCCCATTCCCCATCAACGTCAGCACCCCTATCCCTGGTTCCCAGCCTCCTCCGGGCCTGTCTGCCAGTTCGTACCCCCTGCAACCGTTCTCTAGTCCATTCCCATACTACGCACACATGTCACCGCACGCTACCGGCCCTACCTTCCAGCCACCAGTGCACCTTTCCAATCCACAGTTGTACCCGTCTACACCGGTACCACCATCTATATCGCTACAAGTCCTTCCCCCCGGCAAGAACGATCTCGAAATATTGGAGAAGCTCAAGGAAACGATCAAGAACAACCAGCACGAGCTCTTCCGCCCAATTCCTCAGCCTGCTGCTCTCGCTAGTGTCTACCTCGGTCCTAGGTCTTCATCTAGTGCTGCATACGTCCCTCCCCATCCTGAACAAGCTCACGCGGCTTCTGCTCCTTCCGGTCTCACTCATCCTCATGACGCTCCCAGCAATAGTGGCGACGCCGCTCCATCAACGCCTACTATCTCTCCTCGTGTCCCACAAACGCCAGATCACAAGGATACTCCAAGGAAGCTCATCCATCGCTCCTCTACGAGCGTGAACCAGTCTCCGAAGCCCAATGTGCTCCTCACTTTCGAGTTGTTACACTCTGTAATATCCGCTGATCGTACGTCTTCGTCGCAGGCTATGCAGCCACCTCCCTCGCCTACGAAGCGTGCGGATAGGTATAGTCCAGCGTCTAGTTCCGTTCCTACTCCTCTCTCTAGGCAAGACACGACAGATACCAGGGGCTCTCAACGCTCTGCAGACGGCGAATCCAGTACTCAAGTGGGTTCTCCAGGACTGGATAGACATGAGCGTAATGGTCACGCAGGTGAGCTCACGGAAAGCCCGAGCTTGATATCTGCGAAGCTTCCCCCTGTCGATCCCAAGGACGACACACGGCTGCGAGATTCTTCTTGGGCTACCCGGAATGGCTATGAGGACAGAAATCGACTAGGACCTCTTGCCTCTCGATCTGATGCTCGCAACGGTAGCAACCCCGTTGTAGTAAACGAAGATCGTGGACTGCCACAAAGGGACCAGAGGCCATTTGAAAGGGAGAGAGAACGCGAGCGGGAGAGGGACCGAGACCGTAGCAGGGAGAGAGAACACGAGCGGGATGCTGACCGCGATCGGAGGCTGGACCACGGCCGGTTCAGAGACAGAGAGGATCGCAAGGACGACAGGCGCATCGAAGACCGCGCTCGTCCATCAGATGATCGTAGGCCACCTAATGGAACGCGATATGAGCCTCGTCATCCTCTCCGACGGTACGATTCCAAGGCGTCCGAAAGCTCGTTGAATCCTGGAAGGCGTGATGACCGAGGCCCTCCTGAAACTCGGCCGCCTCCTCGGAACCTGGGAGAAGAACGTGCTATTGTCCGGCCGCCATTGAATGCTGCTGCTCTTCCTCCCCGATCGGTCTCCGAGGAACGTCGTGCTCCTCCGCCATCAGGCGTTGATAACCGTGCTGCTCGGCCTCCTCTACCCATCATTGACGACCGAAGACCCCTTCGTAGCCCAGAGCGTCCTTCGCCTAGAGTCATTGATGGCCATCGGTCTCCTCCTGTATTGCTTGACCGTCCGGGAAGGCCTGATGATAGGCGCCTTCCACCTCTTCCAGCGACCGATCGTCCGGCTGTGATTGTGGATGACCGTCGCCGCCCACCTTCGCCTGCTGCAATCGATAGGGCTCCTCCTAGGTCTCTGGACGACCGCCTTGCACCCATCTCTGTTCCTGCTGCTTTGCCGTCTGACCGACAAGTGAGGCCTGGTGACGAGCATCGTCCCTCTGTTCCTGCTGTGCCTGGTGATCGACCACCATTTGCAGCTGTGAGCGAGGACAGACGCCCGCCTGCCCCTACTTCGGCTCCTGCGGACCGGCCACGACCTGGAGAGGATCGCCGACCTGTTCTGGAGGAGCGTGTCGCTCACCCGCATGTCCCTGCTCCTATCGACTCTCTGCCTGCTCGGCCACCTGCAGAGGATCGTGGCCCCCGTCCTGTCCATCCTATTGATAGAAGTACTAGACCCGCTTTGCCTCTAGAGGAGAGGATTAGTCGTACTCCGCTGCAAGAAAGGCTTGGTAAGCCCGCTGCTCCCCCAAGACCAGATGACAGACCTGCGCCGCGACTGGAAGAGCGGCTGAGTCGTTCGGGCAATGGTCCACCTTCCCTGGAGGAACGGCTCTCTAATCCTCCTGCTGCCGACAGCCGCCCGCCACGTCCTCTTGATGACCGACCTCTTCGACCTCCGCCATCTCTCGAGAGGCCTGTTGGACGTCTTGATGATCGCACTGTTCTTGCTGAACCTGCGCGCACTGCTGCTCTGAGCGAGCGTCCCCCTCCACATCACGATGACCGTCACTTTCCTCAGCCAGGTCGTTTCGCTCGTCCTGCGAGTCCTGCTCTCAGCGATCGCGGTCATCCACCTTCTCGACCTCCCTATCGCGCAGCCTCTATAGCTCGTGACGAACCGTCACGTTCATTCAGGCCTATATCTCCCATGCCTGCACGTCCACCTTCCCGCTCTGACGTCCGTGACTTCCGGCCTGATCCCAGGGACAGAGATCGTGTAGAATCCCGTGCCCCGTATCGCCCTGATCTGGAAAGGTATCCGCCTGAACGTCGACCCTCGGATCTGATGGACGTCGATCCTCCACCTAGGTTCAGCGACACCCGTCCGCCTTACCGACGACCTTCGCCACCGCCTGCCGCTTCTTATCCACCTCGTGCGGGAGAGCGCGATAGGACTTGGGTCCCTGCTGGTGAAGCTCCTGCTTATAGGGATCCGGAACCTAGCTCCAGGCCGCCTGCGGATCCTCTCAGCTATCCTCCGCGCGAATGGCGCGACTCGGAGCGGCGACCATACGGGGACGACCTTCAGGATCGTTCTTGGGACAGGTCGAGGGAGTACGAGCGGGAGAGTCGCTTCCCGGACCGCGATGCTCCGCCTCCGGCTTGGGAAACACGTGAAGAGCGCGAGCGTAGGGGAACGTACCCGGCTCCTGCGGACTTGCCCCCGCCAGCCCGATCGTACGAGCAACGTCCTCTTAGCTCCCGACTTTCAGATCCTGATGTGTATGACAGGGGATACGTCAGGGACGATCGTGCACCGGCACGGTATCCGCCCGTCGAGCCGCCAAGCTCGTACTCGCGCGTCCGCCCGCGCAGCCCAAGCCCAGGTCCGCTGCGGAGGGGTACGGCAGGCGACGATCTGCGCCCGCCGCTCAAGCGCCCCCGGGACAGTTCCTACCCCCCGCCTGCGAGTGGAGGGTACTATCCTCCTGCAGACCGCGATGAGCCTCGAGGACCCCCACCGTCGGACTACCCGCCGTGCCTGCGCACGCCCCCGCCCGCGAGCGGTGGGTACTACGACGACCCGAGGTACAACACGAGTCCGGGGCGCGACAGGGACTATATCGACTCTAGGGATCGGGACCCGGGCTATGGGTACGAAAGGCGCGATCCCCCAGGTAGGATGCCGCCGTCGAGGTCGCCCCCGCCGTATGGGAGGCCCCCTGCATACGGGAGGGACGATAGGCGTTACAGCATCCCTCCGCGCGGTTGATCGTACGTGGGTGTGATCCTGGAGATTTACGATGTTGATCTGTTGGCTGACGATCGCTGTTAGTTTAATCAGTTGAGGATCGGGCGGCGTCTCATAAGGCTTTCTCATCTGTCGATCAAGTCTGCATCATTTTCCGCGAAACGCACACGAACAAGGATTGCGGAAGACATGAACGTTGTATGTACACTCTCGCCGTTTTCCGTTTGTGAACTGTGCCTATCTTGCTTTGCTGTGCATGTATGTGTTTGGTTATGTCACGATGCAATGTCTCTGTCATCTCTCTTCATCTATCATCTACCAGCACCTTGTGCAGATGCTTGGATCTATACAGTAGTTCCGTTATGTATGACCGGACATGGTCCACATAAAATTGTATACTGAATTGCTTCTGAGCAGTGCCAGTGGGAAACTGTGCAAGTTCGTTGTTTAGGGTGTCATCATGCCTTCTGTGGAGAACTACAAGAATGTTTTGCATATTGCACTGAGCGAGGGTATTTGCCTGGTCGACAATCTCAATGAACGAAATGGCGGTCCTGCAGGGCCTTCCGAGTTCGGAGCTGCCAAGGTAGCGCTTGTAAGGGCGTCTATAACCGACGGGGCGAGAGCCGAAGGCGATGGGCAGACGCAACAGTCAACCATCCTTCGCCTACGACCACCATGACCACCGTCTCTCCCTTCGCACGGAGCAGCGTTTTCGACGAGCCCCGCCTCGGCGGGCGCGAACAGACTGTGAGTGCTTCTCGCGTCCTGCGTAACGATTCGCCGGAGCACCAACAGGGCCTATCTCCGCGCGCCCCAGATCGAGGAGATGTATAGTGTGCCCGAGAGCTTCCTAGAGATCGAGGTGCGCAACCCTCAGACGCACGGTCAGCACGCCTTCGTACGTTTGCTACTATCCTTGGTTGACTGAAACTGCGCGGTCGTAGGCTTTGGCCGAAAGATGTACACCGACTACGAGATCGTGTGCAAGGTGCGTGAGATACGCCCGCTCCAACTCCGCGCCTCTCTCATTTCCCTCCTTTCGTCATGCTACTGTCCCTGGTCTCGCCTTCACCATCCTGCTTGTGTACACGATCCTTGTGTGGGTGAGACGTTGCAGACAAACATTCCTGCATTCAAGCTCCGCCACTCGGTCGTCCGCCGGCGGTACTCGGATTTCGAGGCGTTCCGCGACATCCTTGAGCGCGAGTCTACCCGCGTGAACATCCCGCCTCTGCCTGGGAAGGTCTTCACAAACAGGTTCTCAGACGAGGTTATCGAGAGCAGGCGCGAGGGTCTTGAGAGATTCCTGACCATCGTGGCGGGTCATCCTCTGCTTCAGGTGCGTTGGTACCCCGCGTGGAACGTTCGCGAACGCTGTATGCTAACAGGTGATTATCGGGCTGCGCAGACTGGAAGCAAGGTGCTGTGCGCGTTCCTGCAGGACCCTGGTTGGGATAAGTCGCAGTGGCAGTGAAGTTACCCACTTGTCCACTGCGTTGCGTCGACCATGCGTCTGGATCTGCCTATCTTCATTGACTCTGATGTCCCCGTCTCTTCATATGCTCACGACTCCTCCTGTCTTGTGTTTGCATGTTCTCACATGTTCCTTTTCTTTCATGTTCGTCGTGTATTATACAACTGTTTTCTTACGCTTCAGGTATAACAATGTGTGGGTGTACAAGCACGACATCTCTGCCAAGACTCGTCCGCTATGCAGCACGTCATCCCCTGATATGATCAAGCTCGCTCCAATGCCATCGTACGTTCTTCAGATCAGCGCTTATGACGTTCACCCGCATTGGAGTGCTAACTCCTTCGCTGCGGATGAGCACAGCAGCTTCGTTACACTCAAGAGCGCAATACGCTTGCTTGTCTGGTCAATGTGGAACTGTAGCTGCACCTGGAGCGCGTGGAGGCCTACGGATGCATGCAAGAGAGGGTCCGATTGTTTCCTTCTGCGGCGTCTGCTACTCGGTTTCGAGACAATACGAAACATACAGCAGGCAACATTCGACATAGTCACCGGGTCATCTTACTCCTGTTCATTGTCCCGGCTCATCATCTGGCGGCAGAACCCGAGTTCGACCTAGGAGTTGTTTCGTATCAATTCTCGCGAATTCTTCTCGGAGATCTACAGCTACTCTATCGCCTTGACAGCCGTGGCACCAATGTAGTACAAGAGGCAAAGCCCTGAGTCTTGCTATAGTATCATTGTGATCTACCGCTATCTCCAATTCTCACGTACAGGACTCGATATCACTGCTTCGTACTGGGAAGAATGTCATTGTGGTTTGGGCGCTGCGCTCATCAGCGCCCGCCATTGGTTTTGTGAGCTGCTGACCTCGCGTGAGACTTCAAATTTTGCGACTTGCCCCCATCCTCGAAGCTGCAGCCCCGCTCGCCTCCAGCGAGGTGAGTCCTCTATCCGTACTCTTTCAATCGACGCTGTCGGCCCTAACGTGAGTATTCGCAGGTGATCGGTTCACGACTCGCGTGCTTTCCGTTGCAGTGGTACAAATGCTGCTGCTTTCGTAGGCTATTGTTCGCCAGCAAAGTACGTTTTACCTAGGCATGCCGCGTAAGTCGATCAATTTGACAATTGGACAGTTCGCGATGTGGCTGTTAAATACCAAGACTGGGGAGTTCAAGTCATTCGGCAATCCACGCCATGTTCGCTATGCCATCCTGTCGCATGTCTGGTCGACGGAGCGACCAGAGCAATCATACCAGGAGACTCGTGATATTATTGCCACTACCCCCGCTGGCACGACACCTCTTTCACGGTACTCCGATAAACTACAGCGCTTCTGCGAGGTCGCCGCGGAGGACAATTTCGATTGGGGGTGGGCCGACTCCTCTTGCATAGACAAGACAAGCTCCTCCGAACTCACCGAGTCCCTCAATTCGATGTACGACTGGTATCGTTATGCTGGTACCTGCTACACCTTCTTACACGACCTCGACGACGTCGATATCGCGGACCCCATGTTTCGCGAAGAGTTCCGCAACAGCAAGTGGTTCACGCGCGGCTGGACATTGCAGGAACTGCTTGCTTCCAAGGTACTGCTCTTCCTCTCCAAGACATGGCGCGCGGTAGGCTCCAAGCACACGCTAGCGGAACTTGTCGAGAGCGTGACGGGAATCGACCGCTCCGTCCTCACGTTCCAGGAGCCTCTAGAGTCGTTCAGCATCGCGTGTAAGATGTCCTGGGCGGCGTCGAGGACCACGACTCGTGTGGAGGATGAGGCGTACGCCTTGATGGGAATCTTTGGTGTGAACATCCCGATCTCGTATGGTGAAGGCCGTTATGCTTTCATTCGCCTCCAGGAAGCGATTGTTAGGCAGCATCCGGATCAGACTATATTCGCTTGGGGTCGCGTCCTCCCTCCCTACCCATTTGTGTACACTCACCATGGAGACACCGCCCCCGTTATCAGCAGTATCCGAGTTCCACCCTTACTGAACGAGTACTTCCTGGCATCCGGACCTCGCGAATTTTCCGAGTCGACTGCCTTCCGGCCCCTTCCCCGCGGTGAATTCGCCGAGTTACTTGGACTATCTCCCGAGCACACATACCAACTATTCACCCCGACATCTTATGGCATGCATGCCTATGTACCCCTTCTCACCATTCACCGCGACGACCCCCACCTCAGTCTTCCCACGCATCTCGCCATCCTTGCCTGTGAGGATGGAGAACGTCGTATTCTAGCCCTCCTACTCCGCCCGCAACCGGCATCCACAGGCCGCGATTTCCTTGTCGGCGCCGTCGTCGGGGATACGAATGAACTTGTGGGTTCAGAGATCCCGCTGCAGTCAATCTATTACCGGGTGACATATCTCTCCCGTAACGATATTACTGCTCTGAGTCGGCGACCTCGAAGTCTCGTAGAGATGGTCGATCTCTACATCCCTCATCGACCGCCCGTAACCGCGCAGAAGTCCGAGCTAGAGGAGACGACACATGCCGCGCTGCGCGACTCGCGAGAGTTCTTCGAAGTCCGCCTCTCTGGGTGGTGTCGGAGACTTCTGAAACGAGACGGGTACACTGTTACCCCAGAGAACGATACGAACGTGGCTCACCACGATTGTCGTCTCATACTTCTTCCACCCTCTGCCAGCGCTACCTCCGCCATTGTGATTCAAAACAGCGAGGAGCATATTACCATTCGTGTTGGTCGATGTAATTGCGTGCTGGCGGACACGTACCATCTCCTTGCGGTGATGGTGTCTTCGAGAGGTCGTACCAGTCCCTTTGAGATTGACTTCCAAAGCCCACACCACAAGAAGGACCACTCGGCGCATATTCACTCATGGCGATTCAGTGGAGGTTTTGCCGAGAAGGAGATCTCACTTGAGTCGAAGGAGTACTTCAAGCCCACGATTCATTTACGTCTGACGTTCAGCCACGATACACAACACTCGGTCGGTTCTCGCCCGAGGTATACCGACTAGGCGTAGAAATCTGGTCCACTCCTCCACTCGATCCTCCCTTGTCGACCTCTCCAGTTTCTCTGGAAACTATCCAGATCCCTCGGACCCTGAGCTACTCAGAGGTTGCTGCCTCGCCACCTGTCCGAGAAGCAGCGCTCGCCAGCCAGGCTTCGCGAATGTTTTCTCTGTACCCGGGAAGGCTCCCTTCGCAGGACTCTCGCATGAGGACCTCTACGCTGATCCAAGGGTCACACCGCCAACGTTCAGCGACACCCCAACAGACGACCTATCAAGAATCGCTCGTTCGGCCACAGGCCGCGCGCTACTCGCGAAATGGCAACATCACGGAACCCGTCACCAGACGGGTTCCGTCCGTGGTAGCCCCCCCTGTCAGGATAAGTCAAAGCGCCTCTCCTGCGCTCAGTTCATTCGGATTTCCTTCCCGTGCGAGCAGCCAGTACTCGAACGGGAGTCAGGAGACTATCCGACCGGGCGGTCCACGCATCCGCCAGTCAACCACGAACGGCGCGTTCAATGGTGGAATAGCACCTAGTAGGCCTAGTAGGAGTAACTCACGGACGCCTGGCACACCAAGGCAGACGTCGACCAGAGCGCCTTCCCCTATAGTCGAATATGTTGAGCAGTATGATCAGCAGAACACCACGACGTCACCCGTTCGTCAGAATGGTGGCATCCATACACCCGTCTCCGCGAACCGTCAGCGGTCGAGGTTATATCAAGGTAGCGGCCGCAGCGCCCCGGGTCAACAACGGCCGATTCGACACAGCACGTCCCAATACCAGGATAGCGGACAAGGTCGGAGCCGAGGCCGGGGAAGGGACGGGAGTGGGCAGTGGGAGTATCAGGTGGAGGAGGATTCCGATTTGTAATGGACTATATCTTGTTGAACTCGTGTGTAGCAGTATCTCGTCCCCAACTCTGTGTATCGACAGTCCTGTACGCTATGTATTGCGTTATAGTTATAAGGTTTGTATGGTCAGAATGTTCGTGGTCGCATGCCCAACCTCATCGGTGCTTCTGGAACTTTGTAACGATGTCCAGACCAACGGTCGTGATAATTCAGCCAAAGCTTCAAGTCTGTTCTGTAGGCACGCAGAGGTTCTTCTACAACGCAAGCTATGTAGTCCAACTTGGTGCTGAATTTACATTTACAAGAAGTGCGTGGCACCGTTGAATAAGGCTGCGCATCATCCGTTTCTGGTAGGACCCAATGACCGGCAGAGTATTGTGTAATGATCTCATGTCAAGACTCTTCGCCTTCGTGATGTCTTCAGTCTTGACGCGGTGACCCTCGCGCAGGACAAGGATATCATACAATGACGCCGCAGTCGTAATCGGCCCACAAAACAAGAGTCGACACACAAATCAAAACGAGCACGCGCATTAGACAGCATACAATCAGCTTTCGGGGCCTCCCTCGGCAGCGAACGCTCAGACGTCGAAAACAAAGTCCTCCACACCGCCACCCGCATGCTCTCTTTCCAACATTGCCGCGAGCGCGTCTCCATCCTCCTCCGCTACATTCCCCGGACGCCTCGCATTCCCGCCCGCGGTCGAAGATCCAGCCTTCAAGGTCGCCTTCCCCACTACAGTCGCCAACCGCGTCCGCCCAGCACCTGCATCCTTCGCAGCGACAGCCCCCGTTGTGGCCGACCGGACGATCGGTCTCCCCTGCGCCGCCACTGTCGTATTCGACGCGCTCGCAATGGGCCTCCTCACCCCCATCGCCGCGGGACGAGCTGCAGCGGGGCGCACAGGGTTCGGTGTGGTGCTGGCGACGCTTGTCGACGCCGCTTTGGCCGCGCGGAGTGCGGATGTGCGTGTCTGTCCTGGGACGGGCAGAGCGATGCGCGACGACGATGAGGACACAGCACGGGTTTGTGGGCGTGATGAGGGTCCTGGAATCGCTGTTGCTGGTCTGGGAGGGGCGGAGGGCTGTGTGCGTGAAGAGGACGAGGAAGCGGCGGCGCGAGTGGAAGGTGCGCGCGGGAGTGGGATCGCGGATCTTGTAGGTTGTGCGGATGATGATGGCGAGGGGGAGGGTTTGGTGGAAGTGCGCGCGAAGGAACTGTCATCCTCTGTGAAGAGAGACGCGATTAGTTTCTGGTATAGTCAGAGACCACTCTGGAGAGGATTGCGTACCGAGTTCGGGCAGTTCCAAACCGGCGTCGAATGAATCTGGTTTGAAGCCTGTATCGGCGAGGAGCCGCGTGACGTCGATTTGTTGTTCAATTTCGGCTGCGTAGAACACATCCGCAGTGTCGTCCATGAGACCACCATGCCCGAGATTGAATAAGCCGCGGCCTATCGTCTTGTAGTCGGGCAGCTCAAACGGTGGTTCATAGGATAGCTCTATAGCTCGTCGTTGCGCTAAGCACCAGTAGCGTGTCCATTACGGAAACAGAACTCACCGACAGCGGGAGGAGGCATGTACTCGATCTCGTCTTCGTCCTCATTCACAGCGGCCTCGGTCTCCTGCTTCCCCTCCTGCACAACGCCCGCGATTCCCTCCATATCGCCCGGGCTGACATCCCAGTAGTTGCCCTTGGTCAGCGGGGTCTTGAAGTTCCCACCACTCAAACGGCCTCTCAAACTCTTCCTTGCGCTCGAGGGGCGAAGCAAAGGGGCTACGTCGGCGGAGCCCTGCTGTGGCTCTGGGGCAAGGAGCGCGAGCTTGGAGAGCTTGAGGCCGGGAGTCTTCCCCGCTGGCCCTGCACCGCCAAAGTAGTTTGCAGCGAGGACGCGGTTAGGGAAGGGAGTCTTGTCCGTGAGCGGACGGGTGACGGATACAGAGACGAGTGGCTTCTTGCCATCTGCGGTTTGTGGGCACGCGCATGCGTCGTCAGAATCGTGCTTATAAGGACGCAGAGGACATTGTGCGCACGGGCTGTACCAGGGCGGAAGGGAGTCTGGATATGACTCTTCTTTGAAAGGACGGTCTTGGAGCCGCTGTAGATGGCGTTCTCTTGTAGGGCATTGCGGCCCTTGAACTTGCGACCGGGAGTCTTAGCGTTGAGGATAGAGTGTGGTGCATCTATGTCTGCGTTGATAGGGATAGGTCGTGAGCTGAGCATGGCTAGATACGGTTGTTCTGCGGTGACCGGTAGCCGTCGCTGCTGTCGTCGCTGAACTCAACCACTGGCAGCCTGAACCCAGTCGGCGCTCATACACTGTACGCGTATGGAAGTCGCCCGGCAGATGCCGGTTCAGGCAACCGAGCCTGGGCCTCCGGAGTGATTTGCTGAGGACCACGTCGCCAGTAATTTGAATCTGCTCGTATCATCTCATACAAGCCCCAAGTCATCCTAGGCTGCAAGCTATATGTACTTCCCGGTCTCTGACAGCGGCCAACCGTCTTATAGACTGTCTATGGAGCAATCCTCCGAGTCTGCTTCCTGCGTCATCTATCATCGAGTAAGCTGACTCTGCCGCTCGAGTTCATCACCCGCCTAGGGCTTCACGTATGCCGAGGCTCTATAGTTTTTGCGCAATACCAACGGCCCAAGCTCTTTGCGCTCGCGTTCTTCTTTGATCTTACCATAAATATGTTGTCCATCGCCCCTGCCCTTCTGACGACCCCTCTCCATCATATCAAGCGTATCAAACATCCCAAGAACGTCCCTTTCTCTTCCTTCTGCTCTTTCTCACCAGGGTCACGTTGTTGACCCGAACAGCAGAGCGTATGCAAGTCACTCCTGTGATGCTACGATCGCGTCCCTGGTAAAATGTATCCGTCGAAACAATCCTCGAAGCTGCACAACTCTACGGGCACCCGCATCGTACTCCGAGGTCAAATGTGGGTACCGCTAGTTCATACGTAGTGCAGCGATCTCAAATACCGAGTTTTCACAAAGAACAGGGTAGCATACTCGCATCACTCGCCAATCCACCCTGAAGATCTCGATTCTGACAACCGGTATCGGCCATAGAACGAGCTCGAGGCTTCTGACTGAACCCCACGCCAGGGATCAATCCCACGCCATCTCTATGCTTCTCGACCTTCTGACATACCCACACTGAGCTTTGTCGCCCCGCGTTCCCGGTCGTCAATCCCACAAGCGTAATCGACATCAGCAAAAAAGCGAAAAGGATGGTCAGTGATGACCAGGTTCCGCAATTCTGACCAGATTGGGCAAGGTATGAGAAGTAGATGGTAAACCCGTAGCAAATCCGCCAGATATGGTGTGCAATGGCCAGACCTTGCAGGGCGCCTGGACATTGACAGCCATTTCTTGCTGAGCATTCGGACAGCAGCTACCATGCTATAGGGGAACTAAGGCCGATGATGTACATTATTGACTGAGCCAATGGACATACATGGTCAGCATCTGGTGCGAATTCTACTATGGAGCCCAAGCTCACGCTACGAAATGGTCTATTTGGATCGTTTACGAAGAAAGCTAGCCAACAGATTATCGCACAATTCGATGTTGTATATTCCATAATTGATAGTCATTGAGGGCAGACTACTATACATGGAAGAAGAGAGACATGAAAATATTTACCAAGTACTCGCGCAATTTGGCGGGGTTAGGGTTAGTAGCATTAGAGCTTGTAGGCGAACATGTCGATGTCAAAGACGAGCTCGTAGAATTACGGGGCGAAGGTGACCGGGCAGACTGTCTTCTTGTCGTGGGGCTGCAGGCGGGTCTTGGAGTGAAATGTGCACGACGGCTGGGCAAGGAGGGAGGGGACATACGTATGCGGTGTAGGCGGGGCTGTCTCGAAGCGGGTGGGGTTGTATGCGCAGACCTGCTTCTTAAGATCGTCGGGGGTGGCAAAGGAGTACTAGCGGAGTGAACATCGCCCTGGAGCGTGAACACGAACTTACGGTGGGTGGAGGGCTTCGTGGGTGTGTGCTCGCGGTTGGGCCAGTTGGAGATGGACTTAGAAGGGATACAATCGAGAGGTGGGGGGTTTTGAGGGCGACAGTTCAGGGCAGGGTCGGCAGGATAGCTGTGCGTCATCGATGAGCAGGCTTGAGTGACTTGTGGAGAGTCTATGTAGAAGGGTGAGGATCGTGAAGGGAAGGTCGCCCACTTGGGGCAAACACTCACAATATTTGGCTTCGCGTTGCAGGTGACTAACTACTATAGGGTGACACCTCAGCGCTTTTCATGTCAGGGTCAGTAAGAGTTGTAAGTGATGCATAATCGAAGAACATTGAGATCTGAGAGCCCTAGAGCTTGATACCAAGCTGAAGGAGTCCAAGTATGGCGTCTATGGAGCGCCCGTCTCCGTCCGTCAGCCAGCGATGTGCCGGTAGACATCCGGTCGACGTCGACTATCGT